GTTCTTCACTGCACGGTCTCCCTCGTTCCTGCGGGCTCTGCAAACTGCTCCTCGTGGCTGTGGGCCCTGGGCGCTCCAGGGTTTTGTGCGTGGTTGGCTGTGCTGTGTGTTGGGCACAGCCGGCCGCGGAACAGCCACGTGCCCGTTTGAAGAAGTAAAACGGAGCTGTAACCCTTGCTTGTGCTTTGGTGACTACCTCATAGCCTAGGCAAGAATCGTTTTAAAAATACATTCTCCTCAATATCATGTTGCAGATAATTTTGGCTGTCTGTCCTTAGGCTTCTTTAGTTCCTGCTGCTGAGATAGTGCCAGAAGTGCTGCAGGCAGAGAGGAGCTGAGATGACCTGTAATTTTGTTCTCCATAACTGTTTTCAGCACAGATTCAAAATACGGGATACTCCCAAACTCTGTCGGCCCTAGTGCTGTTGCTCTCTATGGTGCCTGTGGAGCATGGATCTATCCGGCACGTGGAAGTTTCTGTCTCCTGTGTCTCCCATCTGCCACGCTGGTGGGACAAGGGAAGGACGCGTGTGCTGGTAGTCCCGGACCAGATCAACACCAGAGATTTTGGTGAAAAATCTTTGTTTCCCATGCGTGGCAATCTTACGTGGCAGTGGGAGATTCAGAGAGCACTGCTCTTCTTTAATAGAAGAAGCAAAAATAGTTTCTGCTACTAAGGTAGAAGAACTCTTGGGAAAGGGGAAGAAACACCAGATTTCTTTCGGCAGGCTGTCAAAGTGAAAATTATTGTCTTCAGAAGAAGAAGTATTCAAGCTAGAAAGTAAAGTACTTACAGAATGTTCCCCTCTGCAGAGCTCACAGGTTTGAGGCTGTGTTTGTATCTCATTAATTAATACAATGATTTTGTAAATACAAGGCTGAGTCTCAGTTTTCATTTTATTATCTTTTGCTAATAGTTCAATTATCTAGGTAAGAATCTAATTATCTTGGGATCATAAAGGATGAGAATAAAATTTAAAAAGGTAGTGCACAAAAAATGTCGTGCTCAAAGTTGCCAACATCCAACACAGAAAGGTAGTAATTCAGTCAGAATCAGTGCAAAGGATCTTCTGTGCTATAATTTGTTTTAGGAAGACAGCATTTAATGGACCTTTTTTTTTCTTTTCTAGAGAAACTCATCAGAGAGCTGCCTTCAAGCATGACATGAGTAACAACTGCCTTTCCTTTCCAAGAAAAGACTCTCTCTGTGCCCCTGTTTTGTGTGGCTAAAATGAGCTAGTAATTTATCTGTTTGTTTTCGTGTATAGTTCTTTACTAGGTCACTCACTAATGTTTGTAAGGTTTTTGCCATAACTGGTATTGTTCTGATAATTGTCACCGTTGTTACTACACTATACTAACTGCACAAATATTCTTTGAAATGTTTACATTTTAGAAAAGCACATGGGTCTTTACCAAATTACTTGTTTCTATCTTGGTACGTTGTTATGCCTGAATGAAAGATTTTCTACCTGTGTAAATTTTAAAATTTGGGGAAGCGATCTTATTTATATTTTACAAAGTAAAACATACATGAAACGAGCTATTAAAACATAAAAGCAATTGCCGTTTGTAGTAAGATATTGTTCTCAAATGGAGCTCCTCTTTTTTTAATTGGTAAGTCTTGGAATCAGCCACACTGTTTTTCAAGTGTATTTAAATACACAAATGACACACCGTAGAAACTTGACACAAAATGTAGCACCAGCTTGATTCTTAAGGCATGCTTCTTAGTAAACTTCTGATGGGTTTAATACTTGTCCTAATTTGTATTCATTAAGCTACTGCCTTGGTGGAAAATCCTTGACAAATGTTTAAACTGTGACCAAACACTGAAACCACATGAAAACAAATGTATTTGCATGCATAAGTCAAGGTTTGAAATACATGTAAGTCACAAAGTTCTGCAAATAAGATGTGCTTTGTTATATGCCTTCAGTTTTGTTTTTATAGAGCACTTTTACAAGGACAACATTAATGTTTTTAATAGTTTTTTAAATTTGTTTACTATCTGTGTTTGTACTAATCTTTTAGAAATTTGGAAATAAATACCCTTTCCCCACTGTCTTTGAACTCATTTTTTAATTGTAAGAAACAGCGAACCTGTGAGTGAACTTTTAGGTTCCACTTTATAAGGTAGAAGAAGAGCCCTCATGGTTTTTGGCAGAGGAAAGATTACTGATGGATTTTAGAATTACTTAGGATTTTTCTAAGTGACCAGGCTAAGCACGTAAATCTTGGCACTGTAAGGAAGAAGTTTGCAATGTCACCTTACATGATCCAAATGTTTAGCGTTCCCAAGTATTAACTGAGACAGGGCAATAAAGGACAGTTCAGTCTTTAACAAATGTTCCTCACCCTTGTCCTGCAGGGAGACACTGAAAAGAAAGCAGCAGTTCTGTCAGTGCGAGCTGTGCCTCCAAGTACAGAAATAGACCCATTTCTTTGAGCGCCTTTCTGGCTTCCTTTTCTTGGTGAGCTCCTCGAGTTCCTCCGGCTGGTTGTGTTTTCTTGCGGCGCTTGGCGCTCGCTGCAGCCGCCCGGAGGAAGCGGTTGCTCCGCGTGCAGAGGGGCCCGGCTGCGGGCGGGAGGGCTCCATGGGGCCGGCTGGGAGGGGACGTCGGGCACATCGGGGTGACCAGCACGTGGCCACCACCGCTGTGTCCCGGGCTCCCTGCTCCCACCCTTCGCACGTGGCCAACCTGCTGCCATGGATGGACACGGAGCCTCTCCCCAGGCGCCTAGGCCGCAGGCCCCCTCAGTGGCTGCCTGCGGGAGGGCGCAGGAATCCTGAGCCTTCCCAGCCGCTTCCCAGGGCCGCCCAGCCCACAGTCCGGACTGCCCAGGCCCGGAGCCGAGTGCGTAACTCGGGACTGGGCCTTGCAGGGCGCCGACCCGCGCTCCCCGCTCTCACACCTGGGAGCAGGACAGCGTTTCTCCCGACTGTCCCGTGCACAGGGCTCAGACTGGCTTTGCGCTAACTTGCCTGGGATGGCTTGCGGGGGGGATCATCGCCTTGCTGCGTCGTCCCCGCTGCAGGAGGTGCAGTCTCTAGCAGGCTGGGCTAGTGCAGACAAAGACACTTTATTTTTCTCTAATTAAGGCCGTGGAAGAGCTTGTCTGCCAAGGCCGGCTACTGGGGGAAGGCAGGGGGCTTTGTCAACTGCCTCGTAACTGCAGGTATCACAGGATGCCCAGGATAAAGCAGAACAAGTGAATGTAAAAATCTGTGCATCAAGGCTCCCACAACCAGTCAGCAAGGCTCTGACTTCCACCTTCAATCCTACCTGCCTGTTCACTAAGCAATGTGCAAATTTGATCCAAGACTTTGTTATATCTACTAATGACAGAAGCAATTCATCCTCAGGCCAAAAAAAAAAAATCAGAACAAAAGATGCAGTGCAAAAGGCAAAGTCATGTTCTCCTCTTACCCCCAGTCGGGGGAGCACAGGAGCAGCAGTCAGTCGGTCACTGTTTAGTCAGCACCGATGGCCTCCCTTTCAGGATGAAATCCTTTGGATGCACTAGCACCATGGGATTCTTCGTGGTTACACGTGCTTTAGGACACAGTGTTTATACAGTGCAAAACCAACTTTGCTTCACATCAAGGTGGTGAGAAAGGCGGCGATCCTTACACGCAATGGATTTGTCCAGATGCATGCAGCTGTGAGACCCGGAGTCAAAAGCACAGTAAAATCCAAATGATCATTGTGAGCCCCTAACCTTACTTTTCATTTTGCTGCCAACAACTAACTGTTCACTGACATTTTCCCACCTACAGGCTGCATGCAGACAGCACCAGGATTTTCTTCTCTGATCTAGCGCAGGCAACATACGGGTTGCCCGTTTTTGAAGCAAGCTGTCATTGCTGCTCTGTGGATTATCTGTGCTAGCTTTGCATGAGTGTTCAAAGCGAAGCACTGGTCTCAACCTTTGTATGTATAAAAAGAGGTTGCAAATAGAGAGCTGGCAGCGCCAGCTATAATTTCCCCGGTGTGGTTGTCTGTGATGGAGTTTTTGCAGAACTGCACTCTTAAAAGAGCAGATTCCTTAGCCCAGCAATTTGGGAGACAGGAGAGAGAGAAAATGGTTAGGTCAAGTGACCACAAAAATGAGCCAAAACCAGTGAGTAGACTGCATTTTTTATTTAAGTCTTTTTCTTATTTTGGGCAAATTGGGGAAAAAACAGTGTGTCTCCAGTTCTAGAAAAAAAATAACTCTTTTCTTTCTTTTTTTTTTCCCCAGGTTACACACAAAAGGATTCCATTAAAACCCTGTACACAATCTGCATACAAACCATGTGGTGATAAAGTTAAAATTGCAATTAGGGCTGTCACCATAGCTTTTAGGAAGTCTCACTTGAAAATCAATATACAATTTTCCTTGAGAAAGCCTACAGTCAAGAAAGTATTTTTACTGCAAGCATAAACCATCCCGCACCACCTGTATTTGCTTTATAACACTGAACTTGAAAAAATAACGGGTTTGGAAATTGAGTAATTTTAGCTAGAGGGCACTGATTGAACACTGACACTCTGGAGCTGACACTTCTCTGCAGACTGTGTTATTGCTGCACCTATTCCTGCAGTAGGATGCAGTCACAATCTACCCCTGCTCCCATTTCCAGGATTGTTACTAAATCTTCTGATGTAATATGGGGATTTAGTTTCTTTCTTCTCTCTGCTATATTTTACAACACCTTTGCATTTTCCTGTCTGCAGAAGTACAGTAGGAGGCTGAGAAATGGGATGCCAACAAATAGTCTTCACTAACAGATGGTCTCTACCAGCTTGCAAAGACATCTACAGTCATAACTTTGAATAAAATCTTTTAAAAACCTGTATTTCAACATATCTTTTAAATTCTGTCCATAAAACAAGTATTTTTTTCTGTTTTTGTTTTTTTTTTTTTTTTCCTGAAGCTGAACATGCCTAAAGCTGGTTCGGAGGCCGGTAGCATCACACGGCTTCCAAGGGAGCTGTCACAAGGAAGGAAGTGCAGCTGAGAATAGAGGAGGAAGGAATGCATAGGCTCCAGGCTTTATGTGAAAAACAGGCTCCAACACTTCCTGAGCAGCCTGGAGACTCTGGCCTCTCTTGCTCACCTGCACATTCGGAAGTCTGCACCCTTGGGGAGCAAACAGATACCCAGGTAGGCTTCAGCCTCTGTGCTCTTCATTCACATTTTACTTTTTGTGTGAAGAATGATAAGGTACTTTACATGGACAAACAGAAGCAATAAATTCTCCAGGCTGAAGGAGACTAACAAACTTACTTTGTTAGCAAAACCTTTAGAACACACAAAAGTTCTGAATTAGTAAATTGCCAACTTCCTTCCTCAACACCAGTTCTTCTTTAAAAATGAACAAAGAACTGAATTCTATCCATTTCACTTTAAATGTTTCACATTCTTTTAAAAAAACATTTATAGTTTGCAACTCCCTCCTCTGTTCAAAAGAACTTGAGACGTGTTTGTCCATCACTTCTGCCAGGGACTCTTTCAAATGTCAATCTCCTTTTTTTGCCCCGTGGTACTTCTGCTATTCCCAAATCTGGAAACAAAACGGAAAAAAACATAGATATGATAAACTATAAACATCACCAGTGTACAAGCTTAACTATGTTTCTAAGAGCAGTAACTGACTTTAGCTTTAATAAGAGTGCTTTGTATGAAAAGCAGGTAAAATGGCATAAAATGAAATGAGTACAGATTAACTAATATTTATTATTGAACATTTTTATGCATATTATCCTGTAACAACACAATGGGACAAGATCCATGCACAAGATCAGTACATCGGCCTGCAGTTCATTTAAAGGCATTATTTCAGTAAAGATGTTTATGATTATTTCTACTTCACTCAATCTTCAGTCACAATGATTTTTTTTTAAATCAGTGACATAAACTAGTCCTATTTTCAAGTCAGTTAAAAAGGCTATCTACATTCTTAAAGTACTTTTTACAATCGAATGTTTTAAATATGTGCCTTCCTATTCAAAATAAATTAGTAGAACAAAATTCCAACTAGCCTTGGTAAAAGGTATTTTCAGAAAGTCCTAACAGTGGCCTAAGAACTTCGTATGTTTGACTGGAATATTGGCTTGGCAAACTGGCATTAACTATTCGCGGTTTAATAAAAGTTTTCCCTGAAGCTTGCAGAAGTTCCTGAAGGGTCTTGCATGGATTTAAGAAGTCCTAGTTTGCGCCTGAACATGTTTCTGAAATCTGGGATTTCATAAAGCTTTCAGTATATTAAGGTGTTCTTTGCACTAGCATGCACGCATATTTTGTACACTTACTTTTCAGTTGGCTCCTGAATAATAAAGCTAAATAAGACTACCCCCCCAAGTTAAGTTTCTGCATTTTAACAAGGAACTTTTACATAAGAAGTGTATGTGCAAATAAGTTCAGTAGTAAGGGAAAAGTGCAACTATTGTGCTGGATTTAACAACTACTTAGACAAAATTTGGAATATATTATTGAGGTTACTCAAGTTTTTGGCAGAGTTACAAATGGAATTTCAGCAATTTCTGTTTGCTTTGCACACACCTGTCACATTTGTTTCTTCTGTCCATAATAATGAGGCACTTTTTACTCTTTTTCTTGAAGATTCTCTAGCTCTTGACTGAAAACTTAGACTTTGAAGCTCATCTGGATCAACAGGGACAAATGAATCATATGCACAAGCGGATGAATGGTCATTCCAAGGGGTCTTGTCAATCAGAATTTCTGCGCTCCTAGAAGTCACATCTCTAAATTCCAGAAAACTGTTAGATCTCTCTGGAGATGCATATTCACTGGAAGTTGAAAAGAAATTCTCTTCAGAATTTTTGGAATAATTGTCAGAGCTACAGTACAGCATGAAGGGCTGTTGTTGAACATGAACAGAACTCTTAACATCTGGATGAGCAAGATCTTCGTAATCCTTTGGAACAACAAAGAAGTCCTGCCTCTTCCCCACAGCTGCACCTGAGGAACTTGGCTTCCGTTGCATATAACTTGACAGGTCAGAGTCAATAAACTCCTGATGGTGACTCAGTGGTGGGACTGAGGCTTCAGAGTTCACATCAGATGGCCCTGGTGGACAGAAATTTGAAACATTTTGTTTGGAGAATGAGAGATTAGCAAACAGTCTGTGAGGGAAAGGACAAAAGGGCAAAAGGCACCAATTGGCAAAAACAAAAAACTAGACTTGCTGACTAGACACAAGAGCAAGTTTCGATTCAGTGGAAAGCTGACCTTTTTTATGTTTGGATATCCCAAGTTATGCAAACCTCAGACAAGTCTGGATTGGCTATTGGGGCACATGTAAGATACATGTACTGCTTTGCTGACTTGTCTGGGACGTTACAAACACAAGATTGTAACCCAATAAAGACACTGTTGGCCATGAGCTTTTAGCCCCTGTTCCTTGACACCGGACCCACAAATGGCGCCCCAACAGGGGCCTGGCAGAGATGAGGTGATTTTGTAACCAGTGGGCTGACACCAGCGGAACGACGGAGGGGAAGGGGCCGTCACGATAAGCGATCACTGAATACTGAAGCTCTAGGGCGTTTCGGGTGAGAAAGACGTCTGAGCCGGGACGCTGGGAGTAATCGTGGGGGGCACCACAACTAAGGAACGGGAACGAGCGCTGCAGGTCATGCGGCATATCTTGGAAAAGATGGGACGAGACGAGTGTGAATGAGGGAGACCTACTGAGGCTTCTAAAATGGGCGATTGAGAATTGTAACGCTTTAAACGAAAACACGGCGTTGAAAGGGGACGCGTGGGATGCTCTCGGGTGCTCACGTGGGATACGGGAACACGTGGGGATCTGACTGCAGCGTCTCTGATGCGCCCCGGAGGGTCTGTTACGAGGCTTTGCAGAAGTATGTGGGAACCACGGCTGCTCCTCCTCCCCCTGCCGTAGCAGGGGCGCCAGTAACGTGTGGGCCAGGACCTGCCCTAGAACAACCGCCCCAGTATCCGCCGGAGAAAAACCCATCCCACTGGGATAAGATCCGTCAGGAGGCGCTGATGGCTGGGGATGGGGAGCTGGCAGCAATGCTACAACCAGCGATAGCCTGTGCAGCAAGTGTGGGACCGAATGGTGTGCATGGACATGCCTCTGGATTATGCCGTTATAAAGGAAATTAGGAAGGCGGTGACGGAATATGGAGCGAAAGCACCTCACGTGCAGTCCATGATCAGGGGAACAGCCGAAGACGGATGGTTCGTACTGCACGATTTTGAACTGCTATTTAGGCTCATCCTCACACCGGTACAGCAGTCACCAGTATGGCGGGACCTTCGTGAGATGGCATCGTTGGAAGCGCTGGACAGCCTCGGGAGATGGAACGGCGCGGGGAATAGGTGCTGCTGCCCTTTTCGGGGAAGGCGCGTTCGCCCAGCCGCAGCGCCAGGTGTGGATCATGCCAGAAGCCCTGATCCAATCCTGAGAAATCGTTTTGGAAGCTTTGGAAAAGGCACCAGATGATAAAAACGATAAGGCCATAGAGCCCTCTACAAAGGTACATCAGGGGCCTCATGAGTCCTTTCTGAAATTTCTGGATTGCCTGAAAACAGCTGTAGACAGAGAAGTAATGAGGGAGGGTCCGTGACAATGAATCTTTGAACAATTGGCTGAGAAAAAAGCAAAAAAGAAGATGTAGAGCCATTCTCCAGGCACTGAAATAGTGTATCGGGAGGCCTATAATAGAGCCAAAATCATAGAATCACAGAATGCTTAAGGTTGGAGGGGACCTCCAGAGATCATCTAGTCCAACCCCCCTGCTCAAATGATTAAGGCTTGTCAGGAGCTAGAGAATGAGGGGGATCCTATAGTGGCCCTGGTGGATGCTTTGGCTGTGGTATCCACCTGTGGCAGCCCTGGGGCTTGCTTTAATTGTGGGCAGGTGGGTGGTTTCCAACGAGAATGTCTGGAAAAACAAAAGGACCCTAAACAGGGGCCTGGTACCTGCCCCCAATGCTAAAAGGGGCGCCACTACGTGAGCCGGTGCCGATCGACAACACATAAAAACGGGAAGCGGTTGGGAAAGGGGAAGTGGAGCGCGGCGGGTGCTCGCACGAAGGCACAAGTAACGCACCACGCGGAAGGCACGACCCGGGGGCTGCAGTAACCACCACAGCAATGACACTGCAGTCAGCGAGTCCCAGCCACACACCCTTGCAGGTCTCCGACAGACCTGCCGGTTCTGCATTAACAACGGGAACTCCAGGAGCAAATTTTCATGTTATACCCACCCTGTGTGAACCAGGAACCCGCATGGAACAGGTCCTAGCCACTGTACCACCTAAAAAAATCAGTAAGAATGACCACAGAGCTGCACTTTGGGTCTCAGCCCTGACTAAGAGACAACCAACATGGACAGCCACAGTATGTCGCTCGTAAACTTGGAAAATCAAGGATTCACCAAGGGCTCATCGATAGTGGAGCTGATTTAACGAAATTTGCAGCATCCAACCGGCCTCCTGAGTGGATGACACGACCAGCAGTGCTAGAAGTAACCGGGATGGGAAGCGCAGTTTCCCCTAGGATCAGCACCCACACGGTAGCCTTGGAGGGGCCGGAGGGGAGGAGGGACTCCCTTCCGCCCTATGTCCTCCCCATTCCAGTTACCCTGTGGGGGCAGGATGCACTAAGTCAATAGGGAGCCACGGTGAATTTTCCCTTGGGGCCACTGGAACACAGCTAACCCCAGCACTCACATGGCTAGCAGATAAGCCCGTGTGGGTGGACCAAGTGGCCCTTACCTGGGGAAAGCTGCAACACTTGTGTGCATTGGTGCAAGAGCAACTGGTGCAGGGGCATTTGCAGCAATCAACAAGCCCTTGGAACACCCCAGTTTTTGAAATAAAAAAGAAAAGCGTGAAATGGAGACTATTGCACGATTTAAGGAAGGTGAACGCTGTCATGGAAGATATGGGAGCTTTGCAGCCAGGACTACCATGACCTGCTATGATTCCAGCTGGATGGCACATACAGGTAATAGACCTGAAGGATTGTTTATATACAATACCACTCAGCCCCAAAGACTGTAATAAGTTTGCCTTCTCGGTACCCAGCATCAATGCGGCCGAACCGTACCAACAATATGAATGGACTGGGCTTCCTCCAGGAATGAAAAACAGTCCCGTGTTGTGCCAATGGTATGTTGCACGCACACTGGGAAAAAGGTGCCAATTGGCAAAAACAAAAAACTAGACTTGCTGACTAGACACAAGAGCAAGTTTCGATTCAGTGGAAAGCTGACCTTTTTTATGTTTGGATATCCCAAGTTATGCAAACCTCGGGCGAGTCAGATTGGCTACTGGGGTGCTTGTAAGACACATGTACTGCTTTGCTGACTTGTCTGGGACCTTATAAATATAAGATTGTAACTCAATAAAGACACTGTTGGCCATGAGCTTTTAGCCTCTGCTCCTTGACACCAGACCCACAATAGTCTAGTACTCTTTGACTTTCACCTGCTGTCCAAGGAGACATTGGTTGTAACTAGGACTACCAATTATTGCCTTGTACCTTTATCCTGCAGATCTGAAGACTGATAATTCTGATCATAGTTTGGATAGAGGATGTCGAAAATACTCCACTTTTTTGCTGGTGATGCACATTTTACTTCTGATTCTGGTGGGGCAGCAGGATTTAGACTGTACAAAGATGTGATTTCACTAAAATGCTGAAATCAAAGAAAGATGCTTAAGGAGTGTACATGCCCACTTTGAAAATATGAAAAGTCAAATCAGGGGTCAGGATTCTAAGATCTATGTATCATTTTCACTTTTTGGAAAGACAGACACATACAAAAAAAGAAAAAAAAAGTCAGTAGCCAATAAGCCAAATGTTTTAAACCTATAAACAGACTAAAACATAGCATATCACTTGAAACCCAGAAAAATCGATACCATAATATACTTCCTTTTCTTTTACTAGTCCAGGATGGCAAGTACTATTGGTTGCAACGGAGGATATGAAATCACGAGCTTCACTAAATGCGATTGCTTTTTAGAAAAAAAAAAGTTTCTGCTGCCATATGACTGATTATGTCATACAGCAAGTTCCTAGAGGGCTGTCAAGAGCAGAAGGATGCCAATAAGTACACATTTTCAATTTCTTTGCTCAGTTTCTAAACTACAAGTATTTGCTACACCTAAAGTCATCCAAGGTGGATACAGAGGTGGTGGATACAGAGAAGTACAGTGAGTGGTAACTGTAGACAATGGAGAGGTGGGACATTTTCCTGCTTCTCTATTAATAACAACTTTGCATTTTTTAGCCCACTTAGCACAATATAACGATGATATAATTTTCTCAGTCTTGGCTCAAGTGAAACAGTCAGAGCACACAGCTCCAACTGCAGAGTAGACTGTCTTGGAGAGAATTACTCTTTCATCAGAGAAAAAGCAAAAAGCCAGGCTTGTATGCTGATAGCATACATGATACTAAGCAGTCTGGAGAGGAAGCTCATCGACAGAATATTTTCCAAGTTAAGGGAATGTTCTAAATCTTCACTTGAACATAGCAGTGATCCAACAACTTTTGCTGAGAATTACCAGACCCATCAGTTTGGATATGAATAATGATATGCTAAAGCAATGACGGTTACATAATTTCCTCCACTTTTTAAATGGTATGAGAAATAGACATGTAGTTTCAGATAAAAATCCATGTTATAACAATGCAAAAATGCTGCTTTACTACTTAATTTTGGCCAACCTTTAAAACTTTTTTTGGAACCTGTGGCAGCAGTTCCTGAAGCTGATTAAAGCTTGCATGAAACAGTCTCTTCAGTGAAGATCCCGTCTTTAACATAAACTGGGCCACTAGAGGGTTGATACATGGAAAAGCAAGCAGGCATTTCTCTGGCTGGAAATAGAAATAATGTTGTCAGATTCATATTTGACCACTCTATCCCTCCCTCTGTAGAAAGACAATTCTTGAAGTCCTTGGACATACAATGTATCACAGAAGTAGCACTTTGAATTTGTGCACTTTACATAAGTGTTTTGTACCTGACCTCTTTTTGTTTGATTGATTTCTACATAGTGTCACTCTTGCAAAAGAGTAACTTTCGCAGAGTAGTTAAAAAAGGAAGAAGAGCCGAGAGACATTTCTAAAATTATGAACGAAACCGGTGAACGAGGTAACCTCGATTTCCAAGTGCATTCCAGGGTTTACTGAATTCTCATGTTAATTCTCCATTTAAAATAATTACTTAACATAAACTGAGAAAATTGATAAAACCAATTACTGTTCTGAGTTTTTACCTATAGTCTTAACTTTTGACTTGTCAAAAACTATAACCCACTACCGTACACCTAACAGGCAGTACCAAAACCTGCTTTAAAGAATTTCTGAGTTCTGCAAAAGCTAAAAAGGATCTTGGCTCTTTTAAGAGTTCAAATCTTTTACACAAATATGCTTAAAAAAGCCTAAGTTGCAATAAAGAAACCATTTATTGTTAATGTCTAATCAGCTGTGATATGAGAGATTAAGCAATTTATTCTATTTGGTGTGTAATTATTTCTACTGCCTTAACAACAGCTGAATCTGTCTTCCTGCCCACAGAAGCTGCTGAAAGTAACTTTTATGATTTGGACAGTTTTTCAACATTAGTATCTAGAAGTGAACAACTTTCTGCATTAGCCTGCAGATAAACTCTCTGTTGGTTAACCGTGAAAGTACAGGCAGAGCCCAAGCTGACCTAATTTTGCTGGCTGGATTGGCTAGCTGGTGGATGACTGAACCATTTCGCATGTATGTTCAAATTACGTTTATAATATACTGACATTTTAAAGCACGAAAATGTGAAAAAAAATAAAAAGAATAAAAAACCCCACAAAAACACCTAGAACCCCGATCTTCACAATAGCAAGAAAGCAATATAATTTAAGAGAACGATAAGCAAACCTCGGATGGCAAGACAGAGAGCCAGGACTTGTCCAACCACTCATGAGGACTGATGTTAGATGCTATCAAAATATTATCAGCAATTTGACGAATTACCAGTGCTGCTTCTTCAACCCCTGGCATAAGAACCACCTAGGATTGATACACAGTATTTCTGATAAGCATTTATACTAAGGACTAAATCCCCACATGTCTTAATTAGCCACAGCAGGTAATAGACAGGAAAGCCTAGAGCTGGCCCTGCACACAGCAGTGAGTAATGCAGTCACTAAAGCTGGTCCCTACGCGTCCCATGTTGGAAATCCAACCTCTGGCCAGCAGTCTGGCTCCAAATGACACTCCTTTTTCATGCAAATCTTATGCAGTTAAAGTTACTTTCATCTGTAGCCCTTTGTATTTGATCAACTTCATGGATATTACACAATTTCCTAACAAAACGGATAAAATAGAACAAGTTTTAAGAAATTAAGATATTTAAAAATTTGAAGGTGTAAGTAATTTTCAAATGAATGGTCTGCTACACTGTTGTGTACACAGAATGAAAAAGCTTTGACTACTCTAACCTTCATTTAACAAAACAATTTTGAAATAAATTTTAATATGCAAATAAATTAAAAAAAGTATAAAAGAAAGATGTCATGTCAGGTAAAAAAAACAATTTACAGATATCAACTTTGTAAGCCAGATGAAACCTCTTCTCCATTTTTAATGTGTATTGATTTAAACACTGGATTCTTTTTAATTCCTAAATAAAAAATAAAATAGGTATTTTATCATGGTATGTAACGAAAACAGGCTAAAAAGTTGTTATGGTAAAGAGACGCTTTATTTTCTTCTGCCAAATTAATAGCATACTATTAATTTGAAAAGATATAACAGTAAGACACATGGAGAATTAACAAACACTCCAATCATTTGTAAAATTAAAGGAGCAATATAATTTCTTAGTACTGTTTAGCTACTACCGAATATGATTCAGCTTGTACTAAAGGCAATCAATCTTTTCACTGACTTCACTAGCACTGTATTATACTTTTTTGTTATATGTGTGTTTTTTTAATATGTGTATACATATGTATATAGACAAAATAATGTTAACAAAGTTGAGCTACTTCATGTTTCTAAAGTTGAGTGCACATATGATTAAACACTCTGAAAATAATAAACAGTGAAGATTAAAATAGACCTGTAAATAGACTGTTACCTTTATTTCAAAGTCTTCTGACCTCTGTGCAAATTGAACTAAACTGGCATAAATTAAGACAAGGTGATGCACAACTGGTCCCCTGAGACTGTACCTATAAAATATTTTCATTGGGCTATTAATATCAAATATAAACATGGAATAATTCAAAAACATTTGCTATGCATGTTAATAAATATCTGCTTCATCTTTGGTAATCCAGAACACTAACCACAATGCCTTCAACATTAACATCTGTGGAGGGACAACTAGAATATGGTTGAACAACTGAGCAGTGAAGGATACATTGGGAGGAAGAACATGAAATCAACCTTCAGAGAAAAAAAATATGGCCCAGTACAAAAGGACTTAAAAGACAAAACAAACATGTTATCTTGTTATGCACCTTTGTTTAGTGGTAAATTTGTTTTAAAATAGCAAGATAGCAAAATTGTCTCTTTTAACTACTTACACTGAACTCAGTCTTTCTCTGGAATAGAAGACAATCCAGCAGCAGCTATACTGGAGTGATAATGCCATCAGCTTCAATATTAGATTTTCAGAGGATTTCTCATAATTTAGCTCATCTATATTCTAAGATAAAATTAATACAAAAAGTTAAAATTAAAGAAATCTACTTCCATAGCCATTGCAACATTTTAACGTGCATCATTGTATTACACAAAAGTGAGAACAAACATTACAGGCATTAAGACAAATCTGGAAGTCAGGGAAACCAGCCAGTATTCCCACTTATTTTGTAAACCCGTTTGAAGACTGACTGACTACTTCATGCCTCTGTTTTCTTCCCTCTAGGTACTGCTTACAAACTTTTCAGGGTGCCCTAAGATTTTTGAGAACATTAACAATGCCAAATATTGTTACAAGCCGCCAGGGCATTTTCTTAACCTATAGAAATCAAACTATGGTTCTGCTGGTATTAGGAAGTACAACATTGCTAAATGCTACCACATGGAAATGTTCATCTGTATTGTGCTTGCAGAAGAAATTATCTTATTCTTGATATATCAGTTATGCTATCTCTAAAGTCACCTCTCTCACTGTACAACAGATAATAAAATTTAAGTATTATGCAACCTTAATCAGACATAGTCTTTTTTGTATTTTATAAACCATTTAAAACTATTGTTTAAATTGTTATTTTTTAATAAAACTAACAGAACAAACTATCTGGATAAGTTTCTGAATCAAGAGAAATAAACAGGTACACCAGTGAGACTATGTAGCTTCACTGATACGCAGACACACTTCTGGAAACAATGAATTTGAAAACAATTTGCATCATGACACAATACATGTATTCCACGTATTTAAGAGGGACAACAGATGTGTTAGCAGGACTTGTAGCAACATTAGAAAGTGGAAAACTAAGACATGTCAGTTTCATTCTGTACCTGCAAAAAGACAGCAGTACATTCATCTATTGTTAAAACAACATATTTATCTGGACTTCCAAAGAGACATAATGAGTGACTACAGTTTCTTTCAACAAATGTAATGTTATACCTGCAAAAGTAAAATCTTGTCATTAATCTTAATTAAGTAAAACTATGTATTTTCTTATAGCAAATGAGTAACTTGCAACTCTTAATTTTTTTTTAAACACAGTGTTTATTTTAACTTGAGTTCTCTCAAATCTCCAAGTCCACTCACATTCACATAATAAACATCAACGTAGCAATAATTTACTGAAATATTACAAGATGGATTTGATTAAGTTGCTAAATGAACTGAATGCTTGATACACAGCTGACGAGTGCACAAAGTAATGTGATGTACTATGGAAGCTACCATAAACAAATAGATCAAGAAAACACACCTTGGTTGCAGTTTATGGAGTCATAATTAAAATCTCCTTAACATAAAATCTCTTTGAGCATTTAATGTTATATTGTGTTTCTTCTGAATGTTAAAACGCTTTTAGCAACAGGATCTCTTAATGATTACCCCTTCTTTTGCAATTACAACTGTATCTCTTTTCTTCATATTTGTGCAGCACGGGTTAAATAAAGTGAGTGAAAGTTCCCTGCTTGCCATATGCATGGCCCTAAATTTTTCTGAGCACGGCCTGCTTTCATTGGCTGTATGAGCAGAAAGTCACTTAACAAACTTTTTTTTATGGTTTTAGAGGAGTTTTGACTAATGAAAGACAAGCAGAGAACAGAGAACAGTCATACAGCCTCAAGGGAACACAAGAGCCCTAGCTCTGAATCTGCCAGTAGTAAGTCTTACAGGAATTTGATACACAGTGCATTCAGAAATCAATAAAAAAGTGAATTCTAAGTTCCTCTGAAACTACAGAGCTCTTGTTTGCCCTATTTAATTCTTTCACTAGTGCTAAGAGGACTAGTGAAGAAGAACTGTAAAACATCTGTTTCATTTCTGGCCAGCTGAAAAGAGAATTTGAATAGCTCTCTCTTCAAATGCATGTCAAATTAAATGTGCAAAATTTGAGTATTAAACTTTTAAATGTGTTTAGCTGTAATTAGAAACAGCTCCAAAATAATTTCACTGTGGACTGCGGGATACAGTTTTCTTTTCAGCCACCTGGTGAAATCAACCATCTATGACTGATATTCTCTCATCATCTCTGACACTAAGTTTCAAAGACTAAGCTGCTACATTCTATATTTCTTTTTTTTTCTTCTTCTTCTTTTTTTTTCATTCATGATAAAAGCTACTTTTAATAGGTTTTTACTGTGGAGAAAGCAAAATACAAGAAAATTATGTTATGTACATATATAGCTATGCACATGTACAACAATTTTCAAACATTTTTTTTCCTTGGGCAGACAGAAGGATTATTCAAGATTAAGTTAATACTAAATCTGAATTTAACATGTAACGTTGTTTTTGCTTTTGATTTATCCTTTCCTGAAATCTATGTAGGTTCAGCAAATTAACTCTTTTATCTTGTATTTTAATAGCAGAGCACGGATCATTAAAACTATATAATATATATATTTAATTAAAATATATATATGAAGAATTAAAAATAAGCAACTAACTATCAACAAGAAGCCTTGAAGTAAAAGCGTTTTGGGTTCAAATAGTTATTTTCAGGGAAAGGTAGCTAACCATTAGAATTAATGAACTGGCATTTCTGCTCTGGTTAAGATTTGTGTGAACTTCCAGAACTAAGTGATCAACTTCAGTAAAAAATTTATCTCAGTGACTCTTACAATGTAAATATCATAATTGCCCTGAAGTGTAGATACCTTACAGGCAAATAGATGAGGCACGTCCTGGATAATCTGAAGTAAATAGTCAATAAAACCAAATAGATCAGTTTTACTTACTTGGATTCCAAAAGCTGAAGGATGTCTGGCATGTTAACAAGTCCCTCAGATGTCAGAAATATATAGGGAATTGGCACCTCCAGAAGAACTGAACCACTGTTATCCCCTAAAATTGTTTTGTATATATAAGGTAATTGATTCATATGTATAAATTCAAAAATATATTTTTGAAGATATAAAGATGCTTTTTTAAAGATAAAAAGATATAAAATGGATATGTCTTTTAAAAACACAGCTTCTTATTCAAACATATATAAAGGCTTTTATTTTATGTTTTACAGGAATAAGACAGTTTTGTATTCATTTCAGATGAAGCTGTAATTTTTATTCCTTTGGATCTAAAGAAACATTTCCTTGTAATCAGGAAGGGTGGATACAACTTGCATCAACCATAAAGAGCCCTCAAAATATTTTGTAAGAGATCACCAAAGTTTCATGTTACATCCCAGCCAAAACAGAGCTCACCTCATATGAAAAACATACTCCTATCTTGCTGTACAGTTCAAGTGATAAACTAGCTCTGTTTGCTTAGCCATTCTGGGGAGAGCTTACCCACGGGTGTTGTTTCAGGAAGAGTGGTTTTAAAAGTCATGTAAGTAATATTCAGATTTTTACAGTGATTTTTCCAGCAAGAGTTCTCAGAATAATCATATTCCATCACCAATGAGAAGTGTGTCCAAGGGAAGTCTGCTCCAATGTGCTGATTATGTACAATAACACAGGAATATCTGCTGAGGCTTAAAAAAAACAACAGGAAAGAAAGAAAATTATGTACATGTATAACTATGAATAACTATCGGCAGAATAAAATCAGCATATTTACTTAGAAGAAGTGTCATTGTTAAAGCCTACTTACAAAAAAGCAGGTATTCTTCCTGAATTTAAAATTTGTAATTTCTTTTTGCATTATCCCTTCCCACTCCAATTACCTACCTAAAATGTTAATTAAAATCTTCCTGCAATTTCATAACCTGACATAATACTATAACCTCGTTTTCCTCACTGAAAACTTTCTCTAAAACATTTAAGTCTAATACCAGTGTAACAGTCCTGCCAGTCCTATGTCTAAGCATTTTATTCGAGTTTGGTCAAACTTCTCACCTTTCAGAATGGTGTTTTAGCTAGACTTGAACACTCACATGGAAATGAACGGCCGTTTCACTACAGTTAGCTCCAGGCTATGTCCTCAAAAATTAGGAATTTAACTTACTAGCTTATGATATCTTTACATCCTAAAGAGGCTCCTTTTTTCTCAGTATTCAAATTTGCAGCTTTTAAACCTGCATAAAAAGAAATAAAAGTCTTGATAAAATAAATAAGCTTCTGCTGGCATATATCAATGTAAAGCAAAAAGTAATAAATGTGGAACAACGGAGGATATTAAATTCTATGAATTATATTTTCTGTCTTAAAAAAGTCCTACATCATTTCAGTTTGTATTGCATTGGCAAGTAAAATAATTTGCAAACTTCCACTTTGGAGCCCAAGGAAGAAGTAAGGCTAAACTAGTTTATACTCGGATAATATGGCTGAATAACCTTAAATGAGAAATCAAAGGCTAGTGCGAAGTGTTTCTTTTTTTTTTTTTTTTCCGCAATTAAGACAATCTTTTAAATTTCTTTCTTACTGCTTGTATATTTAAAATTATACAAATATGCCTGGAAGATGCAGCTAAAATGGGATATCTGAGTAACACAAATGCCTGTTTTCAAAACTTTGATTAGTTGGATTGTTCTGTTTGTAACCATGTCTTAAAATGTTTGAAAACAATAATAATTTTTACTAAGTATTATAAAACAGGATTTCTACCTTTTAAGAGCATAGGAAATTTAATTTTATTTTGAAATTAACAAACAGTCATCAGTAGATGGCTGAAGGGCATCATGATATGCACCTGCTACTCAGTTAGGGTTGTATATTAGGGAGCTTAGTTAAGACTTCAGCATTCGCCTTTGATTGCTCTTAGGAAACATATTAGAAAAATAAGGAAAATAATGAGTGTTACTAAGACAAAAAGAGGAAAAAAAAAAAGGAGTTGACTGACTGACTGAGAAGACTGATGCAATTATAACTAGGCAATGGACTCCTCACACCTCCTGTGTGTTTTGTTAAACAAATCCTGACCTTGAAAAAGCTATCATTGCTCTTAGAAGAGAAGACCTCTCTTCTAAGTGAAGACCTCTTAATCTGGGGAAACTAAAATGACGAGAAAGAAAAAAAGAAAAATGGAGGAGTCAGGAGACAAAATGTAGTTAGGAAAGGATATAGAAATCCTGATGAAGAGAAAAAAAGGAATGGCATATGTGGAAAATACATAACTAGGAGTGCTGTGAAACACAGAATGAAAAACTTCCCTCATTTTTTTTTAATGTATAAAAAGTCATTTACCTTCCACTACAGATAAACTGTGAATAAGGGCAGCCTTTTCTCTCTCAGAGTCCGTTCTTGTTATGATTAGTATCTGAAAGAAAGCAAGTAAAAATTGTACTTTAGGCCTGCATATGTCGTTCCTCCTCCTTTGCACAGAAACTAACTTAGCAGAGAGCAAAAACCTAAATTTCTGAATTTTTTTGTAAGAACAGAATTTTCCAGTTTATGTGCGTATTATTACAAGACTTGGAGAAACGGCACTTCTAAAAACATCAGTACCCGAATTCAAGAACACAGTTGTTCTGGAAGAAGCCTGAAACCCGAACATTTAATTCAAAGTAAAACACTGTTTTGTAAAGTCATTGTACCACATTATCGACGTCACACCAGAAAGATGACTGCTGCAGTAGAGGAAAAGGATGAGATTTTCGGACAATCTGATGCCCTTATGGAGACAAACAAATTTAAGATATCAGAAAGGCAGCCCACAAGACGGTGATGAACTGGAGGGGAGGTACTAGATGTACTACTAAGCTAATTGGCAAGATTTTCCAGATTGTAGAGGAGGTGAATGGAACTGCACTGAGTGCACTGACAGTGACAGCCTATCTCTGTGACTCATTTAATACTGCTGAAGAGGAAAACTTGAAAAGATTTAAAATCTACCAAACTGCAGATATTTTAAAAAGAATTGCTAATGGAGAAAGAGTTTTACTTGTCCAACCATTCAAATGGCACAGAAGGAACCTTCTGTTTCAGACAAGATTAAATTTGAACCATTTATGCCATTTAGTGTTTTTTCATGGTATATGCCATGGATTAGAAGCTTAAGAAGGCACATGGTGTTTCTAACTCTACAAGTAAAAGAAAACTATTTATGTAAATGTTAATGCTAGACCTTTCATAGAAGAACCCCTGGGTACCAGGAGCCACTGCTATGTGACAAGCTTAAAGCAGGCACCTATTTCCATGTGGAGGTACACGAACAAGACACCATCAAACCATTCGCTCCTTCCAAAGTAGTTTTTAACAGCTGATTTTAAAATGCTGACCTGCTTTTTCATGTACCATTCAAAATTGCACTAATCATATTCTGTTGTGAGCTAGGTGCTAATTTAGTGATATTCTCTTTCTACATAATCATGAGTACAAATTATAATGAAATACAAGCCAGAAGCTTATTTCAAAAATGTTTATTCTATTCTGTTAGCCACTTCTTGCTTGCAAGGCAACTTATCATTATAAACCTGCATCAATGCAAATTTTGACTAAAAAAAGTATAACCAGATTATCATATTTCACATCACATTAACCGATGCTGATGTGATGTGACTGAACAGGAAATGGCTTATGTAATGCAACTTCTACTTCTCATTAAAACAGGAATATGCCTTCTGCCTATTCTGGGTCATTGAATTCTGTCTCTGAATGTAACTGAATAATGCATAGTCTTATAACTGTGAATAATATTACATATATGCTTAGACAGGGGCATAAGTGCCCATGTACAATCTTTTTTAAGACATGCAAGCTAGTCAAAACTCAGGAGAGTTATATGCTTTTAAAATCAGATCTAGGGTAGTTCAGAAGCAAAAGAAAATTATCACTGGGCTGAGAAGCAGATGGCAAAGCTGTGCTGTGTCCCATGGTAGAGCATAAACCTTAGCATCAGAAAGCAAAATGTGTTACTCTTAAGATGAAGAAAATAATACTAGAGGCAGCTTGGAGGGGTTACTGAGAGGCTGACAGCAAAAACTCAAGAACATTTTATTTTGGTTGTTTCATTTTCATTTTAACTTCAGAAAGGGTGTAGAGTAAGATCCTCTATCTTTTTATCTCAGAAAAATTACATCAAATGTGTCCATAACTCTTGGTGCTCTTTTAACAGAAACTAAGCTAATCAGCTCCAGAGAGGGAGGTACACAAAGCAAGTGTGGTAAAACTTGTAAAATACTTGTCTGAGTGCTCAACAGTATAAATTCTATTCCAGACAGTACATTTAAGAAAACATGTATTTCCTCTCTTTTAATTAGGCAATGAATATTCCATAAATAAAATAATAAACAATCTGACAATGTAAATGGTGTTTTGTGCTGCACAGAATAATCTACTAAAATATTCACATATCCAGAAAAACAATATATCTCTGGATAACTTGAATTTCCTTGACAGCTCTATTTTCAGCTCTGTAACTACCTTCTTCGGGTATTTGCTTTTTCCGTAACGGCAGGAAACTGCCCTCATGCAGAGGTCAAGCAGAGGAGCCCCGGTGACAGTGTGCACACAGGCCACTGTGCGTGGGCACAGCTGCACAACCCGGACTCGTCTATGGATTTCTTTGCACCAGAAGAACACTGAGGCCCTCAAACAGGAAGTTATAAGTTTCAAAAAGTGATGTGGTACAGCATACTTAATGACAAAAAAAGAAAAAAAAACCTTACAATAATATGAGAGCAGTGATAAAACTTCATGTATTTCACTCTTGCAGCAAGGGAGATCCGATGAAACACAAATCTGCATTGCTCCTAATAGAGATCCTAAATTTTATGTCATCCAAATTTAACAGATAGCATGAATTAGAAAGCTAAGTATAAGATTGCTTTCCATTAACCAACCCTTGTTGAAAGAAACTGTTTTAGGTATTTTAGTTATTGCTTAGCAGCATTTTGTTTAGTCAGAAAATGTGTTTTCATTGTTAACCTTAACACTGCATTCCTCTCTATTACTCTGCATGTAATTCAGCATTTGACTCTGAAGTTCTGTTATTTTGGGATTGGTTTCATGTTTTTTCTGGCTGCTGTACTGTACAATCTTCAGCTGCCTCCAGATTTTATCCAAACAGGATTCTAAGATGTTTTTATAGATATCCTTTGCCTTGGACAAATATCCTGTTAATAAAGCAACAAAACATAAATAATTGTAGTCACAAAAGTTATTTGTAAAGGTTTGTGTCTAATCTATATTTCACACTAAAATGTATGTGATGGTAACTCATACAGAAAAGCTTAAGTTTAATGACTAAACAATATGGGAGAACATTACTATTAATCAAGTTCGTAAGTGTCCTGCAGAAAATCGCTCTGCCTCCTGCAGCATCTGCTGCACGATTCCACCCAGAACCCCGGAACACCACACTATGGAGCTGCAGATGCCACAACTGTGCTCTTACACTTAACTAGTCTGTAAAGCTCACACTAAACTACAGCTTTATTTATATTCCCCACTTTCCAAAACTTTATTTCAGCTGTCGCTTTCACTCTACCACAACTATTTCCTGAGCAGAGAGATATCCCTGAGTGTTTTCTGCATAAGCAGAGAGCAATGCCTCGGTATTTGATTGTCAGTATTGGTTTACTCAGTATCTAGCTCAATTTTTGTTCTTTTTTTTTTCTCAGATAATTTTTAATTGTTGAAAGCTTCCTGTGCCAGATGTTGCTGAGATCTGGATGGACAGGTGCCGTGCAGTCATGAAACACCATGTTGCAGTGTTTTGGCTAAAACGTGATCAATAAATGAGGAGGGGGAACTGCTCCTTTGTCTCCCTGTCATTCTGCTAGTTTGCTAAAGGTAGCCTCAGAAAGAACTCTACTCATTTTCCATTTTCATTTTCCTTTGCATTTTTTTTACTCATACCCATTTTACATTTTCTTCCCACTCTTTATTGCTAAAAATATTTAAATTAATACAAAGTCTGCCCCTGTCCCATGCAATTCCATTTACTACAGACATTTTTCACTTTAAGTCAGTGTTAGAGAAACATCATCCTTCAAGGAAAAATTCAGAGGCAGTTGGGTGCTCTGAACTGCCACCTAGTGTGCCTCACCTGCTCGCATAAACACAGGGTGAAGCCTGTGCTTATGGAACTTTCCCAGGGCATTCCTAAGAGCTGACTTTATACCCTTACCTATTTTGATACAACTGTGTGAAAACTTACACTACGTAGCTATGCAAACTTCAAGAGTATAATATTCAGATTTCAGGCATAAAATTAGGTGCTAAAAATTTCCCTATTCAAAATCTGATTAACATAACAGCAGAAGCCTCAAAAACAAGCTTCTGTGAGCCAGATGAGAACTAACCTGTAACTATTTAAAAATCCATCCCCAGGATAGGTTAAATAATATTTCATACTTTGCTTAAAATGCCCTTAGTTCTAAGTACTAAGCAGTCTATGAATATTTTTAGGAAGAAATTGTTCTACCCACTCAGTGGGCGGATTGTAAAAACAATGAGGACCTCTCATTTTTGCATGATTCTCAGTTTCCAGACAAAGATTCCAACATAAATTTGTCTTTTGGAGAGACAGTGAGAAAACACATTATGTATGTTTGGATGAAGTTCCCATGGATGTTTCTTAGGCAGATCCAAGTAAAAATACAATCAGTGAAATGAGCACACCCACTACCCACATACAGTCTGCAGTGAATTCACAACTAAGATGGAGTAAAAAACGGAAATCAATGTTTTAGGATTACTAATGACAAACCATCACAGCTTACAAACATGAAGGAATGACTGCAGAATACACACTAAGCATTGGGATTTTGGGTAGTATTCTCTTTTAAAAACATACCTAATGCTGTGTCTAAGCCACATGTTAAAAGAAGGTCTCGAATGGTTACCAACAGATGCACCAGAGCAGCATGTCTGAACAGCATGGTCTCTTTCTCGTCTATTTTACCTTTATAACAGAAGATAGGGTCTGCATAAAATTTCAAAAATCATGCTATACGTATGTAAGCATCTTAAAAGATCTTCCTATTTCAGATTTTTTTTACACAAGTAAGTAGATATAAGCTTAGAAGGCTGTTTCTATGAATCTTCCAGATTCAAGATAGGAAGCGACCATGAAATGGCAGAACCTTTTCCTTGTCATCTGACCCAGTGCAGGCAGGACACAGGGAGGCATTCGGAAAGGGGTAGAGACAGGCAGCGTTTGCTGGAGGAGTGGATAAATTCCCACAGGTCTGCCAGTAAATCCCCACTGACACATGGATTTCAACAAGGAAAGCTTCAGATATGCATCGAAATACACAAATTACCTTTAGGCTGTTTTTTTAGGCCCCCCTTTTTTTTATAAACTCAGCTGTTTATGTTACTACTTCCTCACCTAACATGGCAAATCACTAACATTTTCAATGACAGCATAACTCATCTAACTATTTTTCCAAATATTTCAGAACTCATCCTGAAAAAACAGAATCACAGATTATTTGCTAACTAACAAGCAATTTTAAAACAACCTCATATTGAAATTTTCACTAAAATTTAATCTATAAATTTTAAACCTACAGTCCTTATAGGGAGTGGTTTGGATGCAGCCAGCCCTGAGAGCATTCCAGCTGTCCTGCTGGGAAAGTTTCACCTTCCCAATTAATGTTTCCCGATGAGAATCAGGAGATTCTACCTTTGAGAAGGTAGATTTGTAAGATGTCTTAGATCACTGTTGAGCACATCAATTTATGGGATACAGAATATTCTGCATACTCTCTGAAAAAACTTGCCCTTTTGAGTGTACAGTTTTTAGTTCAAAAAGCCAGGTGAAGTGCTGAAGGAAGGAAAACACCACAACTTTTAAGTACAAATTTGGAAGAATCAGAGATGAACAGACAAAGACTTGGCATCACAATGTACCAAAACAAAGGGAATGACTGTCGTTCTGCATCAGTGACAACAACAAAGCTGAAGGATTGCGTTCAATTCTTGTCCCCCTTTGCCATAAATATTTTTAAAAAGCAAATGTAGAATACAGAATATTTAGAAAAAAACAAGCACTAAGACAGTAAGAAAACATGTTTTATGAGGAAAGACTGGAGAAACTGTTGTTACTTAGTGTAAAAGAAAAGGCCAACAGAGGAGAAGTAGTTTTGTAACACATAATAACTAGGCTGTGAGCAATTGTTCTCTGTGTTCATTGGGTGGGGAATTAAAGCCGAAAAAAAAAAAAGGCATCCAGAATTAGACTGCATATAACACTTTAAAAAAAAAAAAAGTCTGTTGGCTTTTCTATATTTATAAACATTTATAAAAAATGTTATAAAAATTCATAAAAATATTTATTAGGAATGGACTGGATATGCTAGATGTCTTCCTCATCTCTATGTTTCTGTGAGTCTTCTGAAAGGAAAATTCTTATTTTCTTCTATAACTTTTGTATAAGTCAGGATCGAAGAAAAAAGAAGTTGGAAAGAAAAACGAATGATAAATGAACAATAAACTCCTTTTTCTAACCCAGGCTTAGCATTTTCCATTTATTTTCCCAATCATCAGGCAGATATGACAAAAATCGCTATTGAACAGGAAGAAATAACAAAACACATTCAGAGGTTTTTGTTTTAAATTCTAGCATGAAAGTATTATTTAAACACTGTTCGATGCATGAGCAACTTTTCTTAAGTTAAAACTTCCTTAGAGTTACAATTAGCACACTTTTAATAAAGTATTTCTGTTAATAAATGTAATACTAAAGGACTGAAATATTTTGGAAGTAAAAGACCTTATCAATTACTGTATCCGCACATATCACGCTGCTGAAAGGTTATCATTAGTTTTTCAGTCATCTTGAACCACATGTAACCAGGTAAACCCATACTAGGGCAGCAGAAGAAAAACATACAGATTTTCTACATACATACCTTCTTTAAAATGATCACTTATCACTTTCTCCTGCTGTTTCAAGAAAAACCTTGTGTGGTCAAACTTAATGTTGATAAAGTTCCAATTTACAGCTGCAAGTATGCCCAGATGTGACAAATCTTTTAGAACGGGTGCAGCAGCAGCTTCCAGGAGACAGTATGCTTGGCACTGGCTTCCTGGATAACACAATGAAGAAAACATTATAACAGAGTACACCATCTTTGGGAAAGCTACAACTTAAATAGAAAAACGAGTAGCCTCCTGCGTCACAGAATCCAGCCCCTCCTCAAAACATACAGCTGTGTTATTCTATCCTTTCCACAGAGTGACTCAACTCCATCTGTAACGGTTATGATTTCTTACCCTCCTACCAAGGCTATCCTTTTACTTGCTTTACAACTTTTTTTTTTTCTGTTTTGTAGTTTAATCTTATTCTTAGTCTATTTGTTGTAGCATTTGCTACTACAACTTTTACTCCAACAGCCGTTCTCCTTCACTGACATCACTGCTATCTGGTGTCTTTGTTTAGCAAGACCAGGCAAGCCAAGTTCTTCGTCACATCATTCAAGGCTTCTCTAACCTAACTGAAAAAAAAAATGTTGCAAGCTTTTCAACTGTCAAACCACTTTCTATTTTGTAATTATTTTATTTTGTAATTCCTTCTAAATCATAACAGAGTTTGTTGCTATTAAAGTCCATGACAACAAAGAGACCAGGCTGCTTAATGCTGAATGAGCAGAAATGGAAATAGGTGAAACTCCTCAGTATCAGCTCTTGGGTGCGCAAGAGCTCTGTGGTTCTTGTGGTTCTTCGTTTTCAAAAAATATACTTTTTTTTTTTTTTTTAATGCAGTCCCCTGACCTATATAGTTGTCCAATTTGACTGTTAGCTGACTTCACCTAGTCATTTCCCAAGAACAATTAATTAACTCATATTTTTAAGCATTCTTAAAAAAAATGTGTATCACTACATCCAGACTTTCTGGATTTAGGTCAGATGCTGTGCACTCCTACATGAATATAGCATTTTCTTTTCAATGCATATTTCCAGTCATGAATCCTCTACTCTTCTACTAGGAAAAGTGACTCTGTAAATATTTGTAGCCACTGTTTTGTCTGTAAATTGTTTTCGATAAAGATTTCTCCATGTACGAGGCTGTGATGTAACCTCCAAATCATGGATTGTTTTATGACATTAAAGCCTATTAAATAGTATCTTTGCAAAATATTAGTTTTGTATTGACAGCTGAAACGATTTTTTTCAGTTGCATTAAAGAAGCCTTGTTCCCAAAATCATATAAACAGCCATTGAAAGTAAGTTCACAGCCATTATATTTCATAAATCCATTTCACAACTGGAAACAGATGAAAATACTGTTCATGTCTTTTACTGAGTCTGTGACAGAGAATCTCCTTAAGCAAATGGGTAATCTGAATGTAATTCCATGCAAAACCAAACTATTCTAAGCCTAAAACACTCTTATACTGGATGTGCTTACATTAGGGCTATAAAATACTATGAACAGAGACCAAAGTAGGTGTTTCTCCACCATTTCTGTTGCCCAAAGCCACAACTGTTCTGAGTGCATGTCTTGATATAATACCTTGAAAAGTATAACAGCAAGAGTTCACAGTGTAGTTACCTTCTGGATAAAGTCATATTAGACTGTTACTTTTTAAAAGACATTTCCTACCAAAATCACTGTTATTCTACTTCCATCTCCAATTTCCTCATAAAAACTGTCAGAGAAAAAGTGCAGATTAATAATTTGAAGGAACATACTAGCTTGAAAAGACTTCATATCTGGTGTCTTAGTTTGGACATGACTTAAAGGCAGTACTTTTCAGTCTGCATATGATCTGTTTCAAAAAATATGCACCTGTTTTCAGGTTTTGAGTCAAAACCAACAAACACTAAGCAAACACTTAGCAATTTCCGTATTTGTTTTGTATTAGTGGACATGCTTTAAAATAAAACTCTATTACACTGCAATGTTAGGTAAGACACACTTTTTGGATACACTGTATACCTGAAGCTTGAATATTGACTGTGATGCTGTTTTCATTTTTCTGCTCTGTTTTTGCTACTGTTACAGTCTCGGAAACAGAACTGTCCTCTTTGGGAACATGCAAAGGCTCTTCTTCAACCTGCAGCACTAAATGATTAAATCACAGGCGAATATTTACAGACAAGCATCACAAGACCATCTCGATTAATAAGAAATGATTTCACACATGACTGTATGCAAAAAAACTTCAAATGAATTTGTTTCAGTGGCACATGTTACATTTTTTTTCATGATCTTCTTTACTGTCCTCATGTGCCTATATACTCTGGAAAGGCCACCATGAAGAGATGACGTTCCCCAAGAAGTCAGGTGCTGTCAGCCCCCTTACTGTCAGCTGTTGCTGAGCTGTTACTATGGCTCTGCAGTGTAACCCTGCAGTAAAGCTCATATGTTTTCATACACAGATAGAGAAAACACGCACAAGAGCAAGCAAGCTGCTGTTAACTGTAATAAGATCAAACAAAACCAAGAAAAATATGTTGTGGTATGGGCAGAACATGTTAGATATCATGCAACATGCAAGCTGCAAATGGCAGAAAAGATAACAGAAGGAAAAAGCATATTGCAAAGAGCCTGTTATCACTTCTTACAGCTATCTTTTGCAACTCCCTAATATCTCAACAGCTTTCTCATTTCTTCCTTATAAATATGCATTCAAGAGCTACAGCTTCTTTCCACAAAGATGTCTTTGGCAGCTCTACTTCTTTATTTCTGAGAGGAGTTGTGGCTGTGTTGATGGCTCCAAAACATTACTGATTAATTTTAGCTATGAACTCCTGTTTCCTCAGTAAACAAACTGACAGAAGAAACATAGAAAGCCATTTCTTTTTTTTTTTTAGATTAAGTTTAAAAACCTTCCTGATTTTGAAAAGCTATATAGGGTTCAAAATTGGGTCAATAAATTATTTTTACTATATTCGTCCCTCACATTTTCTAAACTATTGTACAGAAAGCTATATTTAAAAAATAAGCTAAAAAGAACAGCCCTAGAAGCAGTCTTGCTTTTTTTTTATTTCTTTAGCTATTTTAGAACTACCCTTAATAAGAAATATTATTTGAAAGAATATTAAATAATTTACATGATTTCTATATCATTATGCTAGCAGCCTTACATTTGAATGGGTTCTCTATATACCAGACATTACTGATCTGCAATAATGAGGTCTTCTGCAAACAATATATCTTTTTGTACTACATATAACTTGCTTTAACCTCCACAAATCTCCTTGCCTTTCATTTCTAAATGTAACATAGATACTTTGCCTTCTAACACGCTGGTAACTTTAGGAGATGTAGTTCTGCTCAAAATTCACTAGATGGTGACATTAGACTTCAGTTATCTTGCTCTTTGCTGGATTGTTAATTTCTGAACCCATGAAAGTTTTCTTTCATATCTATGAGCATCAGCAACAGATGAATTTTACTCAGAAAATAATTTTTACATAAGATTACATAAACATACAGTTAAACAGATAAGCTAATTATTACTGACATTTTTATGTACCAAATATCTCAACCAGATAAAAGTTTTTGTCAAGATTTCTGCTTATGCGGTGCAAAACACGCCATTTGTTTTAGTACAACTCTATCTATAGAGAATGTTGGGGGTGACCCAGGAACTGGGGGTTCTTGGGGAGCAACAAGCTGACCATGAGCCAACAGTGTGACTTGAGGAGGCCAACCACATCCTGAGCTGCAGGATGAAGAGCGTTGCCAGCAGGGAAAGGGAGAGAGTCAGTCCCCTCTATGCAGGTCACAGGACTCCAGATGTGTCCAGATTTGAGCTGCCCAGTGCAGGACACACTTGGTGCTACTGGAGCGAGTCAAGCAAAGAGCTGTTAAGGTGATTAAGGTTGTGAAGCATCTCGCGTATGAGGAAAAGCTGAGAGCTGGGCCTGCTTGGCCTGGAGAAGACAACTCTGGGCAGGTCTTATCAACGTGGCTAAGTATCTGAGGAGAGGCTGTAAAGAGGACACTGCCAGATTATTCTCAGTGATGTCTGATGTGATGTCTAGGACACAGTGATGTCTAGGACGAGGAACAACGGGCACAAACTGAAACACAAGAAGTCTGAACACGAGGTAAAACTCCTTTACTGAGGGTAACTAAACAGGTTACTCAGAGAGGTTGTGGAGCCTCCATCCGTGGAATGCTTAAAAGCAGTCTAGACACAATCCTGGGCAACTCTATGGGAACCTGTCTGAGCATTGGGTTTGGACTAGATCTCCAAAGGCCCTTTCTATCTTCAATAATTCTGTGAATCTGTGAATATACCTGTTTGTTTTAACAAATACTCTTCTATAAAGAAGAATGTTCTTTTAAAATATCTTTTCCCTCGCCCATATTTTCCACTCCTGCAATGTTCATCCTGAGAAACCTGGGTCTACTTCATAAGCATTGCTACCAGTGTTAGTAGCCTTGCAGAAAAACCGGTTTTCTTTAGCACTTGTTCCCCCCTACTATTTGATGGGGTTTTCACCACAATAAAAGGCTAAACCGGTTCTTTTTAGAGAAGAAATGTAACCTTTGCTCACTCCCTAGGCTATGCTGGTTCTACAGCTCCAGGAGTGTAAAGTAAGCAATTGACAACTACTGTTTTTCCAGAAAAGTCAGGAGATCTGATTCAGAACATATGAAGAGAAAGGATCTGGACTAACAAAGTACTATTTAGAGGTGCTTTTAAAAACAGGACATGCACATTTTATTAGAACAGACAAGCACACTAATGAAAATATCCAAAGCAAAAAGAGCCTTAAGAACCAAAAGGTATGAGCCTTAGCAGAAAATTCGGCCGCACAAAAGAGCATAAAAATGTTACCATTGCATTCAAGAAATTTTTACACCTACGATTTTCCAAGGATAAACTAATATCTACTTTAATTGGTGTGACAGAACAGAATTAGAATTGGGATTACACCATAATAAACTGGTTCACTTACCCTTTTCAGGACTATCTATGTCATTTTCCTTCTCTCTTTGGGGGAACGTATTTTTAGATCTCAGCATGATAAAGGTTCTCAGAAGATCAGAGTCATCATCATCCCATGTTGTAGTCAGGGCAACAGATGATGGCTTTTGCCTCCTGGGTGAATTGTCTTGCTTAAAAGATACATCTTTACAGCTGACTGATTCAAGTGATTTGGGGATCTTCTTTTCTTCATTTAAGAAATAAATAGGCTTTTCTACCTTACTCAGTTGCATATTTTCTCCAGTAAGCTCTTCTACAGATGCATTTGCACTGTGTATTTGGACAGAAGTTGCAGCACTCCCATGCAGGGAAAACTGATGGCTTTTAGTCTCAGGGAATATGGTGAGATTATCTTTTTTGTCCAACTGATGTTTTTCAGCAGAAAGCAATTCCAGGTTTGCCATGGAATTCTCTTCAAGCCACCCTAAAAAATAAAATTTAATTTCTGCATTGCAACATGTATCTTATCCTTTCTTGGTTGGAATATACTATTTCAGATTGACTATAGAGCAATTATTTTAAAAATGTCTTCTTTCTGCCTTCCCACGTTGTTAGAACCTGCATTTAGAACATTTGAGCTGATCATTCCTATGTCAAAATTTACAGCACTGAGCAAAAGGGGAACCACGCTAGCGTTTTGAAAGATTTTCACCATCCCTTTTGTATATATTGGTGATATCTTCCTAAGAATGGGGCAGCAATGATTAAATGCTTAACAGAAGCTTAACAGAAAGGAGAAAAAAAAAAGAGAGAGAGAAGAAATGAGGAATGCAATTACTGCCCCTGAAGATATACCTAACTCTAACTGTAGCCTTCTGTGTTGCTGCTACATATCCACATTATCTATGTATATAGGTATTTAAACACTTTGCAATATGGAAATAGCATTTAAGTGGCAGTTTTCTTCCCTGAGAGCAGCACCTACTTGTATGCCATATTTCTGAAATCTGAATCTGTCAGTGTTTGGTGTTCTACAGTCATGATTTGTGCAATGCAGTCAGGCTGCAGTTATTGTAATAAAGTTTAAACAATCTTTTAGGATTTTCTTTTGAAGGTTGGCAGTAAGTAGCTATTGTGGCCCATGAGAAATTTTGAAGTGTATCAGTGTTTCAACTCCTTTAGACTATAACCAGAAAAAAAATCTGAATAACATCATAATCAAATAATCTTCACCATAGCATATTCTCACCATTGATCTTTAACCAGCTAAGAGAACATGGACATTGGCTTTATCAAGATAAAACGTGTGATCAGTTATCAAAATAATATGCAATTTAAATATATAATTACCATTCATCAAGAACTCTTCTTTTATGAGACTGTTTTGTTAACACATATGGCTGTGGAATATGTTTGTGTATGTGTATAGCAATAGAAAAGATAACTTTGTATGTAGTTAAATACAAATTTTGTGTCCTTTTAATTTGCTCTAGCTTTCCAAAAGCAGATTTTAACACAGTAGTGTTTCTATTTTACACCGATATAATAGATTTTGCTCCTAAGAATAAGCAGTCTTCATATCTATCTCGTAGAAAGTATGTGACTATCACTGTGCAATTTGCTATTGAAGCACTTATCCTTGCCTTTTTATCGCTAAAGCTTTGGGCGAAATAAAAACAAAACATACTTACATTCTAGCTGATATGATGTAAATGGGGAGAATGTTTCTACTTCTGTAGGAAAAAAAATATTTGTACTACTAGAACCTAGACTTAATTGCTCTAAAGTCTCTAATGAGACTGGTCTTAATCCTATATGAAGCCACCAGTCCATTTCTAATGAGCTAAGCATTGGTATTTCTATATCAGCAGACAGTAGTTCTTTCAGTTCTGCAAGCAAATGATGCTGACAGGTAAGCTTGACAGTCTGACACTCTGAAGAAAGAGATATAGAGAAATATTATTAACATTTGAAAAACATGAAGACAGTGTCATTTTGAAAACAAATGCCCCCAAGTACTTGTTTCTAGTACATATATCCCCTGGTTATACTTTCATTAGCAACTCAGTAGCCCTTATTGGACAAATTTACAAATTAATTGAACAACCTAACAGGTCATTTACTCAATCCAGTGACTGTAAAACAAAGGTAAACAACATGAAATAAAAAGTAGTGGTGATGAGCATTCTGATGCTGTCAGAATGCTGTCCATGGGTTGTTTCTTTTTTTTTGGATACAATTTGTTTTTTAACACCTGCTCTAGAAATGCTCAGTAATGCATCATTTTATTTTTTACTACATCAGCACCACGTACGTGGAAGTCTTCAACAACAACTAGAAAATCTATACCTTACCTTTAAGTAAAAGAGATTTCATATCATCCCAGTACTTTTCTGACTGCCAAACCAAACATTCTAAGTGTTCCCTAAAGGGTTCTGTAATAAAAACACTAAGAAGAACATTAAAAGCAAGACTTGGAGGAATGAAGTTTAACAGCATCATCTGTTGAATTACCAAACAAATTGATTTATACAAATTTACTCTGTAAAGTCAGACGATTTATCCCTAAACTTCTCATTTGTTCATTCACTGAATCATCTGTCTATTCATGATTTTTTTGCGTGTGTGTGCATATATACATATTCAGCTGTCTTCAGACAAGACCACTGTGATCAGGTGTAGGAACAATCACAAACGTTGGACATATCACTTATGAATTAGAACAGTATTGAAAGATAATTATCTGTAGATTGCTGTCCCTTCCCAGAAAGATATTTAAACCTTCCTGCTTATGGCAACAGGAGAAAGGCTAGTTTCACAAACAAGATGAGATACAATTGTCTTCTTTGTCTTCCGGAGATTTTGTAGGTGCTGCTGCTCCCCAAATACTTATTGTCTACTCCAACAGTGAAACTAAATTTTCAGGCTAGTAAGCCTCCAAGGAGAAAGACCGTCCTACAACAGGAGGCTGGGTTTCTTTTTCAAAGAAGTCACAGACATGGATTGTGCCTTTTGTGAAAAAAATAGAGAGTACAGTCTCTCTATAAAACACTTCCCTTTCTTTAAGGCAAAACACAAAGTAAATACAACTGTGTAAAAGAAAGTAATACCACAAAGTAATACAACAAAGTTATGTTTGCACTAATTGAAGAGTATTTTAAAATAACATTTATTTCTACAAAGTTTTCAGTACCTGTTACCAGAAAGAGGTTCCTCTTGGAGTACTGTATTCAGAAAATTCAACTGAGATCTTTGTTGTCTGTAAGGAGGGCTTAAAGGTACTTCCATTTCCTCTTTCAGATATGCAGCATATTCAGCTAGAAATTGCATAAAATCCATCCCCACCCGCCAAAAAACATGTTGTTATTCAACATACTTGAATTGAAATGTACATATTTGTGAATTGTATTACATTGTGAAACTTTATATTAATACATAAAACCTATCTGTAGGACAATTAATTGATTATTCAGTAAAAATCAGAGTGATGCACTCCACATTTTGATTTCTCAACAGCTTTGGGAAAAAAAATGTATAGGTCACACTTCTTCACTCACTCTGTAATATGAATCTGGCCACAAACTATTCACATATAAAGTAATTATTATGATTAAATCACCAAATATTATGGATAAGGTTTTGGTATTAAGCGTTGATCATTGAGGGTCGTTGTAGATCATTCACACACAAATTGAACTACTTAGATAAGAGTGATATGTAAAGTAATTTTGCGGTGGCCTGAAAATAACGAATACAGATGAATGGGAAACGCAGAAATATAAACCTCAGAAATTTAAGCGCACAATTACTCTGTGAGTAGCATGGAACATCTAGAACTTCGGGGATGAGATTAATTACAAGATTCTATTTTAAAACAGCACACATACAAGGCTGGGATGTTAAAAAATTCCCATGCAAGTCACTTATTGCATACCTTTCTTCCTAAATAAATGAAAAGCACATGTTTTAATATGCTATTTCTTTGTCAGCCATTGAAGAAGAAAAGTGTTTATACAAGCAAGAAATCACCTTCCAATCAATATAATTTCCCTGCCATTTACTTAGAAATGAGAAAGATTTATCAGTAGTTGAATTTCACCTTCACAGGCTGTTTTTTTGTGGTGAGAAACTAAATAAACACTTCTCTCTTAAAAGGACAAGGAATCACTCTCAGGACAGCAAAAACATATTTAAAAACAGCAGTCATTTTTCTTTGAGCAATAATGTTTTATATCAAAAATGTGAAATGAGTGTCAAAAATGCCACTTTTACGTGACTGATTTTCCTCTGTGTATTTGGCCATATATTTCACTCCTTGTATCTCACAGATAGCAAAATTAAAGACAGGAAAAGACCACAAGGTATATCTGCTAAATTTAACACCTGATACAGGTAATTCCACTGAAAAAACAGACTTGCAAATAAAGGTTTGCAAGTCTCCATCCTAAAGATCTGAGTACCTTTAAAGAAAAAGGTACAGCCAAGCCAGGAAGGTGGTAACACAGGTTAATGTTGTCACACTCATTTGAAAACAACTTGAGCTGGGGCAGGGTGACTACTGAAGAACACAGACTACCCTAGACGAGCTGACAGACATCTCGGGTGGCTCACTGGGTTCAGAATGAAGTTACTCATGTCGGGCAATGGCCTCCAGATGGATCCTAAGTCTGACTTTGTCTTTTTCTCTGGGTTTGACTTGAGCCTTTTTGTCTGACATTTTGAGCTGGTGTGACAGCTTCCACCAAAAGCCCATTTTCACTGCAATACAGTATCAGGGGCATTACGGAATTAGCCTGAAGAGGAAAACAGCTGAGTTAAAACCACATGCAAACCAAGCTAAGGAGGGATCTTGTTGTGGAGGAAAAAGAGAGTATCTCAGGGATTCTGGAAGTAACTTCTGGAAGAAGGACTGCCAAATGAACATGCATTGGGAGCTAACACTGCAATTTTGCTACTGTGCACAGGTCAATGTACTGATATGCTTCTCCTGAGACTAGTCAGTTTCTTGTGTTTTCTGCTTGGAATTAAAGCTGAAAAATATCAGTAGAACATCATTTTACTGCCTCTTTTAGTCTACACCCAGCGTTTAGGATACGAAACACAAGGGATGAGAAGAACATCCATTATCTTAAGAGATTATCTGGAATCTGAAAAACTGATTAAATGGTTTTCCTGAGCAGACACCAAACCTGTCTAGCCTAGAATCATAGAATCACAGAATGGTTGAGGTTGGAAGGTTGTATTATAAGCTAATGTCATGTTTGTCTGATATTTTTTCAAGCTCTTAAATGTGTATATATAGAACATACGTGGAGGCAGGGTTCAACTCACACAAGGCAAAATTCAACACTTCCAGTTTGCACCAGTGGAAAATAGCTCTGTGACTATTTGATTTTATTTCTTGATCACACAGCTATACTGGACCAAAAATGTTTCCTCCAGATTTTGTAACTCTAGAACTTCTGTAACTATAGGAGTTTGTAACTGGGCCCAGTAGAGAAATCTTAAATACTTCTTGTGACCTCAATCATTCCTTTTCAAAGTGCTTACATAGGACCTCAGCTAACTTTAAACAGAGTTCTTTCCACAATCTGAAAAAATTTGCCTTAACTTTCTGTTTCCAAGGTTGTTAGATTAAACAGTAGCAAGGCTGTTACATTAAATATATATATATACATATATAGCAAAGCTATTGAAGTACAAAAAGTATGGACGGTATTTGCAGCTAAAAGCAATACACAGCAAGTGCAAAGCTGTGCTTCACTTTTATAACTCTTGAAAGGAGTATGGTATTTATTTTTCTTTATATTATAAGCACAAAATAGTAGATTTCAAAAAGCAAATGCTCTGATCTTAAATACATGTGGCACACATATACCCAAAACAGGGCACAAAACAGGATAGAGGGACAATTAATTTAAAAATTTATTTTAAATAATATTACTGGATTTATCCAGTCTTCCTACCTGACTCAAAGAAATCCAATGCACTTCTATTACTGTAATAAATCTCTTCTGGTTTGGAACAGTATTTGGAAATTTCTGATTTCTTTGCAATTTCTGCATTGAGATCTGGAAACAGATTTTAAAATATGTTATAATCAGCCATTTATTTATTTTTCCTATCAGAATGTTTTTCAGGATTTTTTTTCCACTGGATCTCAATTTTCCTGGATTTCTGTGAACTCCTCACTATGAAGAACTGCAGGTGCATTTAGCAACCCTACTAATACCACAGAGGCTACCAGAGGACCAGAGCAGTACACAGTTTTGTCCCTTGACAGGATGTGAAAACAAAAGCAATATAGGATAGTCTTGCTAAAACAAGCACTTTGGGTCACTACCTGACCTATTCAAAGTATGTATGACTGCAGTGATGTGACTTCTGGAACAAGCTGGTAGTCTCCTGGTATTTCACTAAGAGTTTGCCTATGCATTTATTTTTCTATTAAAATGACAAAAACAAAACAAAAATAAATAGTTGAAGTCTATATACAAAATCTCCAGATCTCTGCAGCAGAGGTGTATTTATTTGGCTGATTTAGTACTGGAACATGGTATGCAGGTACTAAATGTAGAAGACGAACGTATATGGAACTCCTCAGACAAATATAAACATTCTTTTAAAGTTTTGTCTTATGTTTAATATGCGACTGGATTACCCAGAACTGCTGTCCTAGCAGAAGCTGAATTCAAACGTATGTATTTAAAAGTACCAGTCTTGCTTCTTTGAGCAACACTGGCCTGTCCACCTGAGTAAAGAAGTGCCTTTTCTGTCAAAAGTAAAACTGAAGAGAATGTCTTTAATTTTTAACTCTAAAGAAAGCGACTTACATATCAATTCAATAGCCAATAAGTGCCATTAAGGATGTATTTCTTATCTGTAACATAATAGCATTTAGTAACTTCCTAAGTCCTTTAAATAAATCACTACTGTAATTCAGAATGCTTTGCTTATCCGTGGAAATCTTTAACTTTTTTTTTTCCCTAGAAATCTGCTTTAGCTTTTGCCATTATAAGTCATTGGAAGCCATTTCAAAGCAATTTGCATTACATACAATTATTTATACAGCATGACTGTATATATATAAGCCTCTTCGGTGTATCTCTGGAAGTAATTTAATCACAGGTACAAAAACTTGACTAATTAATTAATTAATTAATTTTATTTAAACTTGATTATTGAAATTATTGTCTACATGGAGGACCAGACATTAGGAATTATGGCTCATTTGATTTCAAGAATACAACATAACTCTGGCCAAGACAAATAGCATCATAGAAAAATAGATCACTTCTTGGCTATTTGAGGTGACATTTCTAATATCCTGAAATCAATGTTCAGCAAAATTTGTAGTTTCATATACAGAAATTCCTATTTGTCAGACTATATATTATGACATAAACTATACGTGAATTGAAACAGAATCTACACTGTGTTAAGTCTCTTCAAAGAGAGTAAAAGCAGGTCAAGCATATAAGAAAACCAACTCTCACTTTCTTTGATCAACTCTTCACATGTGGCTTCATCACCCATCGTTTCTGGAGATAATTTTAACAACTCTTTCAGTTTCAAGTATGATGGAATCTTCACTTCTGATCCAATCGTACTGTAGCCTTCCAACTCAACAGGCAACATCAAATACTGAAAAATGAATAAGTAAATTCTTGGTTTCTCTTGATTCTACCTTAAAATTTTATCTTTTTTTTTTTAAATCCTGAAATAGCTTAATTCTGAATGGATCTAAAAGGATATAACAATGTCATATGACTTGTGCACAGAACAAACAAAGCTTAGTTCAGGATAAGTTAAAAAAACAAACCACCTAAAAAACAGAATAAAATAATGTTACAATATTTCAAAATGAACCAGTAGAGTAAGAAGAGCAGGTGTGAACTTAAGTTCAGACAGGAGTGCTGGATAGGAATCCAGTAACATCCTCATTCATTTCACTGAAAATCTGGTATGCAACGGCACCATTACCAGCACTGTTACTGGCACCAAAATACATTTCCTCAGTGGTATGAGACTATGACTGTGATTATTTTTTGGTTATGGTGAATAAAGACCCATCACAAATACTCTGAAGCTATTTCTGATGATCAAAATTTATCCTAGAATTTTCTAAGCTCCATTTTTCCTCCACATTGCTGACATTGTAGCAACATAAAGTGTCGCAATGTATATTTTCATGTGGAATACTGAAAAATGGAAAAAAAATCCCAAAACACTTATATTCAAAAAGTGGCCAGACTAGCCTCCTAAGTGCCAAAACATGTAGCAGGAATTTGCGTTTTCTCTTGCACATATCATGATTTTTTATTCTGGTTTATTCCTACTGTTCGTGTAATGGTACTTACACAAAAATGCCAGTACATCAGATCTCACCAAAAACAGCTGTCTTAAGTGAGAATTCATAACAAAGACATCCAGGAATTTTAAATATGTGTATAGTAATAGAGACTTTTTATCTGAGAAATTGGAAGGCTTCAAATATTTTGAGAGTATGAAAAGAATTCAGTAAAATGACCTACAGTTAAAAAAAATGTGCATCATAATCAATAATATAACTGACAAGAGACAATTTTGTAATACCTCTTCATCTTCTAAAGACATCGGACTGAAGTTTTCCTTAATTCCCTGAAATTCTGCTTTACTCTCTTGCATCATTTCATTTTGGAATGTCAAACATTTCCTTTAAAAGAAGTAAAATGAAGCAAGTGATTTCTCTTGATTATATCATCTATAAGATGATGAAAGATGTAAGTCCCAACAATAATCTTGGTAACTATATATAGGGGAAGTTCTTTCTTTTAAGCCCATGTTTCCCTAGGAAAACAATTCCAAGAAACACTGCAACAAGCTGTCTTAATAAATGAAATAAATTTTCAAGAAAATTGTATAGGCATAAGATTGGGACTCCTCTTTGAAAAATACAAGAGTATTAAACTTGTTAACTGGTCCGACATTTAAGCCCACTATCACATTGAGACTCTTTCTACAAAAGCATCAGGGAATGTATTTTCTTCTAAGACTGTTTTTTCAACTATATAAGAAGTTTCTATAATCTATAGTATGTATATCATTCAACATTTGTGAATTTTCCATTTCCAGAAATCAGTCAGCATCAAACAAGGCAGAGTATGCCCCTTAAATTACAAATGAAAAATATTTTCACTGGTTAAACTTTTAAATACCAACAAGTAAAATTTTGGAGTCAGGCTATTTCTTGCCCTGGAAAACTAAGATACAAGCAGCTGGACAGGTCTAATTTTTCAGAAACCACTGGAAACTCTATTTGGTTTCCAATGGCCATTACACTACTGAACTATTAAAAGAATCACTTTTCACCAGGAGACTTACCTTGTAAATCTCTGGAACCACTACTTTATTGGATGAGTATTTGATCTCGTAAAGCATAAATTGTTCCAAGTCAAGCCACGGAATTCCCATCCAAATTTATTTTCAGCAGAAATTTGGATGATTAAAGAATCTGCCTGTGTCCCTGTGTTCCACCCTCATTTAAAAAAGGCTTGTAGCTTTGCCAGTGAGAAGAGGATTAGCAAAAAGTCTGTACAATTTACGTAGAGGATCATACTAGTGTTTTTTTTCTCCTGTAACTACCAACTGTGCAAGTTATTGCAGAATGTGGTTCACAACATTGCTGTGGAAGTACTCTACCATGTGCATATATCTTATGCCTGGCATGCACTGCAAGATCAGGACTCATAAAAAAATCCCATCCTCTCCATCCCCATCATTCCTACTACTGTAGAGATTATTTACTATATATAAATTCTGCTTTGCCTTGCTTGAGAGACATGCAATCCTATCAAGTACAAAGGATATTACATAGGTCACCCAGGCATAGAATAAATCAGCACAAAATTTAGCTGGAGTTTGTTAAAAGTTATACACAGATGAATATATTACAAAATATTAGACACTTTCTGGATATAATTTTTTCTGTTTTAATGCACCAGTTTGCTTAAACCCTTGACATAAAGCGCACATTTCAATCAAATTTAATCAATTTAACAATAACAATTAAAATTTGAACCTGAAGGACTACAATTCACCACGGTAAAAGCATGGGTCTACTGAAAGATGATAGGAGAGGAAGAAGGAACATACAAACTTGGATAATTTCCTGGCCTTGTTAAATTTAGTAGCATTTTACTGACAAGGCATTAGTCAACCTGATGAAGGCTCTTTAAGATAAACATTTTTCAGCACTCCTAAACTAAATCTTGATCACATTTGACAGTTGCAGAGTGTAAAAATATATTGATTTATTCAATTTTCTTTAATAGCATATAAAAACTCCATCCTATTCATTTTTACCAAAGAAGAAAAGCTAAAGTTTTTACTCTTTGCAAATATAAAACAATAATATGTAACAAAAGATTTCAAAATGCTAACGGTATTACACAGAGACTATTGCTTATACTAAATAATATACAGCAATTTTGCATATACCTGAAAATAGTCTCTTCTGTTAAATTCTTTCCTTCAGAATCTACAAGTGGATCTTTCACTAAAAAGAACTGTAGCCTGTCCACAAGGGCATATAAAGTAGGGAGTTTTTTGCCATAATTTTCAAGATTATCAACAAAAACAAGTTCATCTCCAACATATAAATCTGAAAGTAAATAAAATACATTAGGAAACCATATAAAAATAATAAACATTACTAGAATTGTTGAACAGTCATTGAAATGCTTTAAATATTAGTAACATAGCATTGCTTTTACTTCATATGTTTTACCATTTAAGCCTGGATTTCCACTATTACTTTAATTAGCTCTGGTTCTTGCCTGCTTCCCTTTTTGTTACATGTAATACTTGTTAAAAGTGATAGTTTATTTATTATCAATCCCTTGTTTGAATTATCAAGCTATTATCCTAAAGAAGCTGTTGATGTTCATTTTGTTTCAGTGCCACTTATGACACTGAATTAGTTACTTGCCACCCATTACTTAAACTGCTAGGGTATGGAAGGACCCCTTTCTTCTCCTAGCTTGGAAGCCTCCTGATTCCCACATACCTCCTTCATTCCTAAGATGCTCCTTTCATTCCCAATGGCTACAAAACGATACACAGCCTTTACGGGCCCCCAAACTATTCGGATATTCTATGCAGCATAACACAAATAGCTCCCCATAAGGATATTTATCAATTCAAAGGTATATGGTTGCTACAATGAACCTGTGTTTAATGAAACACAGGTTCATGGAGGCTACTAAACTTATATTAGCCTACTTGGTAGTCTACCTGAAACCTACTTGGTTTTGAGCTGCCAGGAGAGACAAAATAACTCACAAATCTTTCAAAACAGTAGTTTTTCATCATGTTATAATAAATCTTCCATCAAAATGTAAATTTTACTTTAATTATTTTTTACTTTACTTTTACTTCTTGAATACAAGAGTAAGCTAAAACTTTTTTACAGTTAATATGCTAATTACACTGATAGGTTTTTGCAGACTTGTTAATTCAATAAACGAGTCAATAAAGTAGGGCACAGCTTAATGCACTCCTAAAAAAGGAAAATCTAGTCTCTTAACTTTCCTAGCTACTTTTGTTTATATGTTATCAATTTCATGCTCATTTTTTTCTTCCAGAGACTCTTATCAATGAAAATTTAGAAGTTGTTTCCAAGAAAGTAAAAATTAATAAATGAAAAACGATCTGAATTCCTCTTATGCTCTTTGTAAAGATATCTTATATATAAAACTTTAATCAGTTATTGAGACCTTGAACAACACTTACCCTGCCATAGGCCTACCTTAGGAAAAACATCAGAAAACACTCTGATGAATTAAGATTAGTGTCTTTCAATCATTAACTACTTTCATTATTGATATTATGTCTCTAGTAAATGTTATCTTGTACAATGTTGTGTCAAGAACCAGCTGTTCCCCCTATGTGCTCGTGGAACAAAGTTCTTAGTAAATAATTAAATTACTTTCCTATACTAATGCATTTAGATGCAGAACCCCTCCTGCCAAATCCTTAATTAAAAAAGAAGAAAAAAAAGACTGGAATAATAAGGTTCAGTATAGTTGAATCAAGCACTTCCTCAACATTTTGGTTTCTGTGATCAGAATTTCAGAATTTATTCTATTCTTTAGGGCCTACAGATCAGAACACTTCAGAAATCATAGAGGAACACTACCATGTCAACTACCTCTATCCCAGCTATAAATCCAAAATCCTTTGGTTTTTATCTGCTTAATCCTTTCCCTCCTTTATATGGTAAAAGAACATGCACAGGAATCTAATTTTGATAGATCTGTTCTTCTGAACAGAAAGGTCATGACCATTTTGATCAATGCCCCACAGAGTCTAGTATAATTATTGTACTTCTTTTTGTACACATTCTGCCACGTGTTTAATCAACATGAAATTTCTTTTGACTGGCAACTATCTTGTACTGTTCAGACAAACCTGGCTTCTCCACAGACTAAATCCCTCTTCAGTGCTTAGAGCTACTGAAATGGCAAAACACACCATCACCCAAATGATCTCTTCAACTTCTATGGATACTGTACTAAAAATTATGCAAGTTATCGATCTAACATCACAAAGAGATAGAAAACAGGAAATTATACACTTTACCTTGACATTGTTCTTTAAGTTCGATGGCACAGTCAGTCTTTAAATATTTGTCTTCAGTTAATTCTTCTTTATAAATGTTTTTCATTTGCAAATAAACTGCTTCTAAATCAGTCTGAGAAGAGGGATTTGAACTTGGAATAACTTCTATTAATTCATTATTAATATTGAACTTTATACAAGAGATAGGTTTCCTAAAAAGTAGGGAAAAAAATCTGATATTTAAATTATTCTAAGAATACTTTCTGTAAGATGAAGCTGACTTCCCTGACCCCTCAGTGAAACCACTGTACTGAAAAAAAAGATACTCCAAGAACTTTGATAATCACTATTCCACAGGAAAAGTTTGGAAACATCTCTATGGTCTTTTTTAATTATTTTTGTCCAAGAAATAAAGTTTCTCTGCACAAAATTGAGCAAAAGGATAACAACTGCAATGCCAAATCTACAAGACCATAGCATTTACAACACGAACTTGTTGCTTTATTACATAATGCTTTAATGTTTACTGCTTCTCTGTTTCTATGACTTGGCTCTGACAGAGCCAAAAATATAAATAATTCCCTAAGAAGCAATCAACTTCCTTAACCAAGTCCTATGAGTTGCATACTAGCAATAAAAGACAACTTATCCACAGTCTAATTCATCTTCATTAACTCAGGATCCAAGATTACCCCTTTTTCCCAGTTATATTATATCCTAAACAACATTTTTTTGAAGATACCATACCACATATACAAACAATTCATCTTTCCATTGCTACAACAGAGGCATAATGTTTTAGACAATATCCTCCTTCACTATGTGGTTCCATGAACCTGATCATTCCTGTTCCATGAATAAGGGGAAGTGTATACAAAAAAAAATAGTATGTAGTGATGCAACTAAACACAGTATCACAAGAAAATCATAGAAGAGTGCCACAGTATGGTACTAGCAAGAATGGCATTGACATATCCTAAACATACTTGCATAATACTGCAACCACAAGTTTTCTGCTTCATTAAAATAGGTTAATGAAATTACAGCATAGGTTTCAGTCTAGTCTGTAAAACTGTAAATGTAATTCCACCATTTCTTCCAGACTAACAAAATCTTGAGAACAGAAATTCACATAATTTACCAGCTTCATGGAAACATTTATTTTAATGTTCTATGCAAACTACAAAGGTTGCAGACTTGTATTTCAAAGATAACACAATATTCATATCATATTGCCATATTATACATTTCCCTCGTTACTTTTTAATTTCTACCTATCATTGTTTTGCACATTTGACTTTTCCAGCTTCCTGTGACACCTTTATAGAGGTTTAGAAGTAGCCTTCTAAAATAGGCTCTAGTGAGGTAACTGTTCTTTTAAGGAAGGCAGGAGTAAAAATATTCTCGTGGTGTACTATTAGGATTGTGCAGTGATTTCAGGGGTCTTCTCTAAGGGCATACATATATTGCAAAATCAATTTAAAAAAAATCAGTAAGAAAGTAAAGAACTTCGTAAAAATATAGTACTATTTTTAGTGAAAAAGCATCTTCAAGCTGTTTGCTAATACAGTTTCATGCAATGTATTCTTACAACTGACAGAAAACATGTCTATATTGTTCACATCATTAGCTTAAGAGTTACAAAGTACTTGAATGATACCAAAGAACTTGTGCATGTTTTTAATTTAAGATTACTGACTTTTCTAGGAAATCCTCCACAGACAAACTTTTCTTCCATAGATCCAATACAGAAATATCTGTCATGTTCTGTGTTGAAATAACAGAAGCTGAAACAGAGGCAAAAGTAAAATCAAACAAAACTACGAGATTTTATACATTGAAAAAACATTGCAAAGATTAACAAAACTGTGGCTTATACGTACAGAATAAAAACTGCTTTTATTTTCCATTATCAACTATAACTAAAAAGGCATCAGAAAGATGCAAATTTTTTTTTGACCTTTACATTTGGAAATTCGCTATTTTTTGAGTACCTCAAAATCTCAGCATCATTTTTCAAACATCTCTTTTACTCATGCTCTTTTACTCATCTTTTATCACTTTTCATCTCCTTTTATTTGTTTCCTTTCCTTCCACAACTGCATACCTCTCACACACTGTAATGTATTTGATTAAATCAGCAGTATATTTTCGGAGATTTTTATAAACTAATCAATTACCCTTATTTGTGATGCTATACATAAATAAATATCAACGACCCATTTGTTTCTGCTTTCGTAATGAACATATACTATCTGCAAGTGCCTACACTGCTTTACTGCTATTATTGGAAATACTGTCTTTTTTTACCAGATACAGCATGTTATGCCCAAACACCAGCTTTTCCTTTAATTCACAGTGAATCTAAACTATATAGGACTGTGTAACCTACTTCTAGTCCACGGCCTCCTATACTGATCATCAGCAAAGAGTCCAGTGAGATGACACTTTTCATCTTGATGTAAACAGGGTGGAAAGCAAAGGGATAATCTACAGATTAAAAACTTCTGCCTTGCAATGCTCTGTACAAAGAAAAAGGTATGTGATGAAATTTTGACAGGTATACTTCCATTCTTATTTTTTGTGCTCTACCTGTTTAAACAGTCCCACTGTCTTTAAGGTTTTGCTCCTTGTATTGCATATTTAAGCTTTATTTTTTCAAAAACTGACACCGTCAAATTAGGATACAAGTTTAACATTTGTTGGAGCTGTGTTTTTAGCCTTATGTAACTTCTGCATGATGGTTCCCATATGATCTCCTTCCCTACTGATTCTCTACAACTAAAAATGACAACTAGATCTAGAGCTGCTACCTGTTACTGACCACACATCAGACTAAGTAGCCTACGAAGCAATTCTTGCAAAATCTATTTGCAGTAAAATACAGATAGTGAAAAAAGTTCAGAAATCAAAGAAACAGAAAAAAAGAGTCAGCAATAACCTGCCCTTATTAAAACAAGCTGTAAGGACTGCAGTGTAACACTCTTCCAGCACACTCTGCAGTCACAAGACCTGCTGCGGTTTATGTCGAAACTTCTAAACAGAGCAGTTTCGTACAGTTCCATAGGACTTATACATATTGTCAGTCTGCAAAATAAAAGAAACAAGGGCGGAAGAAGATGCTGTAGTTACGGAGGAGCCTATTGCTTGTGCAGACAGATTACTGCTTGTTACATGATCGCATCTATTGACCCCTTCTGGTGGAAAGAGAGCACGACCCAGCACAGCTCATATGAGAGCACTGCTTACATTATCCCAACACACAGCAGCCTTTCAGCACAGACATTTCTACGTGTTTGTGCTTTTCCCACTGCATTCTGGCCAATACTGCTCTGCTCCTCAAAAAGCCCCCAAGTTTTTTTTCCACTATAGTCTCTCGCATGTTTTGTCCATGCACTTTAGTTTTTAGTCACAGATACTACAGAAACACCAGGAGACCAAATGTCATGCAACTACTGTGAACTTTTCACACAAACACTGAATGCTATCTTGTGCACTGTTGGATTATATACATTATAGAATGGAATGTCTACAGGATTAAGTTTCTGCTGTTTTAACTCAATAAAATACTATGACATTATACGAGCGTGCTACAGGGAATAATTTATTCCCTCCAAAGGAAGAGAAGCAGACAAGGTGTTTGATGCCATGGATCTTGGTTATCACCACATATTATCACCCAGCAAGTCCCAGGCTGAATCTCTTTCAACTACATAGCATGAGCACTCCCACATGTGTTTGCACACTGAACTCCTGAAGGCTTCACATCTCAGTATCTCACTCTTCCACACCAAAAACAGCTGCTCTGGGCAAAGCACCACTGTGTCGGACAAGTTTATTACTTTGGCTTATGCTTTCTTGCTGAAAATTTAAATATATAAAAGCTTAAATAGCAAAGGTAGCGTGCTCCAGTGATAAGCAATTTACACCAACACACCACACAAAGGTAGACAAAAAAGGAACCAGGAGTACATAGGGTTGTTATGTCTTAACAAAACAGTATCTGTAAAACCCAGATATTCCTTGTACATGTCAAAAAACATCTGCACTGAACTGCATGAAATTTGAATTACTAACACCTTATGAAGGTGTTACAGAGGATACTGCTCTGTATCATCTATAGCAAATAAAGTGTTTGGCACCCTTGGTCTGCTGGATATTAAAGGTGCTAGAATATTAGATTCATTTTCCAGAAAAGATTATAAATTGAATTCTATACTCTATAAGCCACAACGTCCTCCCCACTGAACAAGAAACCAGCTATGAAACATGATTCCTCAACAGAAAAGCAAAAAAAAATTGATGCTCTTCAGATTTGGCTAAACCGTACTCCATTTTTGTAATAAAGCAAATATATAATTTCTCTGTCATTAAAAGAATTAGGTTATTTGCAGAAAAAAATACAGTAAATCCAAAGAAATTACCATTCTCTGTATCTGTAATGTGTACCAAATTTTATTTATTTATTGCCATGTCTTGTAGAATGAGATTACTAAAGATAATAAAACCATACCTCATATAAGTAGTCTGTTGAGTGATACTTAAAAGCTGCAAACATCATCTTTCTTGTTTTGTGATGTATTTAAGACTTCATTTGTATAAAATCACAGATTTTGTCTAAAAATAAAATATAGGTTATTTCCCCCTTCCCTGCATTATACAAAAATGATCAAAGAGAAATTCTAATTCACCAGTAATAACTTTGTAAATTCTGTTAGCATTCTGGAAGGCATTTCCCTTATAATAATGCTTCCCTACTAAATGCTTTCATTTAATACTCTTATTTCGGAAGAATGTAACAGACGAATTACAGACCATGGGCGGTTGATTTAAATCTAAGTGAGTTGGGGTTTTTTGGGGGGCGGGGAGGGATTTTCTCTTACTGTCACAGTTAGTTTCATGGAAAAAAAAATCTAAACATTAAGTGAATATAAGCATATAAAGCATATGCTCCTGAATTATGAGAGTCTTAAAATGTAATTACAACACTCGAACTCATTAATTTAAAAGGTTCTAGTTTAACAGCAGCAGTTTATCTACAGCATTATCTTTGTACTGGCTCATGTGAAAAGAGGGGATTTTTTAAAATTTGTCTTGGTTTTAGAAGAAAGTGGGGATCACACAGGTTGCTTGGGAGCAAGAGGCCCTGCTGTAACTGCAGGCCTCTAAACAAAGTCCCTGTGATGGGATCTATTCCATGACAGAGATAGGAAATATGCACTAAATATGTTATATTCCTGCCTTGGTATGCATAAGGTAAGACACTCTTTGTGGTTAATTACAACTAGTATGAGAATCAAAGCTAAAGGAAGAAGATTTTGTCTGAAACTATGATATAAATAAAATATAGTGTTACTGCATGAAAGGATGGGGTGAGCAGGGACTCTCGGGACTCAAAGCGCTGCATCTGGTACTGCAGCTATCAGTATCAGATACAACAGTACATATGGGGCCGAAATTGCTTGGGTAACAATTAGGAAGACACTAAATTTGGTTACAAATGTAACAGAACTGGGACCAAGGCCTAAAAAGCCATCAGGGTCTCCTTGTTTATTTGGGAAGAGTCTGGGTGGAGGAAAAAAAAAAAAACACAAAGAAGTGATGCTCTTACGAGTTCAGGAAAAAAAAAAAAAGATAGAAACAGTTGGAAAAGAGGGTGTCTTGCTAGCATAGGGGTGTACCTGCCTGCAGGTACTCTGTCCCCTCCTACAGACCCCTGCTCTCCCCCTCTACACCCAAGAGAAGGTGGGGTGAGAAACGGGCAGCTTTCTAGGAGACAGTCTTGTACCTTAACACTAAAGAGCAAGGGGAAAGTGAACAGCATTACAAGTTAGCAGTGTGTCAGTGGCAAAATGAATACTCCTAGTAGGAATGGTGTCTTTATTAGGCACATAAAAACACTCTTAGCATACCAGAAGTGTGTCACATCAACAAATACCATAACTACTTCCCCGACAGTTTAGACTTTCCACTTTAAATAGGTACAGGAGCAACATTTGTCTATGCAGAGCCATGTACCTTGAAATGTTCATTAAAAAATAAAAACAAATAAGAACAGCACTACGTATGAGTATGCTGTTTCGTTTTCCAAAAGCTCTTAGGAGCACTGCTTTTTTAAAGTAGACGAAATACACAGCCTGGGCTGTTTCTCAGAGCGTTTCCGCAGCCTGGGGGAAGCACGGTGCCAGGAGTCGGCGGGTAACTCCAGCTGA